TCTAACGCTAATTAGCTATCCTTTTTTAAGCATCTATGTATCACATTTTTTCACTTTAATCACCTAGTTCACTGATTGTATGTCCATTATCCCAATTTGGAGTTAATAAAATATTTGCCATTACTTTTTATATATTTATGTGTTTTTCTTACTATTATTGTTTGGCTCCTTTGAATATTTACTTATGTATGGGTAATACTATTGGTATTGTGTCCTCTTTTTTTAATGCCTGATCCAATCTAGCTATAAATCTTATAGTATTTATTTCACTTTTAATTTATTTAACTTTGACACCCCAAATATTTCCAGACCTGATATACTAAAAGAATAATAGAATATATTTAAGGAGTTAAATAAAGAGTTATAAATCACGTTTGGGGTAGTAATAAATGCACAGAAAAGAGAAACAACAGTCACAGTTAGATACAATCAATTACAATCAGTATATAAAAAAAGTGCTATTCATTTCACACTGCAGAAAAACTACTGAAAAAAAGCAAAACTTCCAGAGCAGGTGAATGAAATACTGGCTACACCTCTTAATTCCTTCTTTCTTCTCATCACTTTCTTATTGGAACGTTTATGCCAGCAGGTCGATAGCGTGATCATTTTTAAGGTTTTGCAATTAAGGAACTGACATGTTCATAGGAATTAGGTAACTATGATTGACAGGTACTACAAATATGGCAATTCTATAATTATCACTTTTGAAACCTGCCAAGGGAATAATTATAAAGGAATGAACTGTTGAAAGAGTACATTTTCATTATACTGAGCTATAAAATAGCAGATCTAATTACAAAAATACGCATCACGGGAAAAATAATTTGAGTGAAAAAAATTAAGCGCATTTTATGTATATCTGATCACAAAGTATCTGATCATAAACATGTTTTTTTTTTTCTAAAATATATTAGACTGGGTACTGGGTGACTTGTAGCCGGGGGTGCTCGCTAACAAATGGTGCCTCTGCAGCAGTTATGTACACTACCCATAACCCAATAAAGTTATCATTGGACTACTCATAACCCAATATTCCCATGGCACATGAAGTGTTAAAAAATTATTATTTTATTATATTATATATTATTATATTATTAAATCAGGGATTTTGTCCGTGTTGATATTTTATTTTAGTCAAAGTCCAAGTGCTGAAAGTGTTTTTTAAAAAGTAAATGTGTAAAACCTGGATATGCTAACATTTTTCCAACCTTGGCAAGTCATAATAAAAGTGCTGATACAAAATAACAAAATATGGTGAAGGTTGTACATAAATAAGAGGAAATTGGTGACAGCCCTAACATTGCAAGATACTAATCCACACCAATAAAGCACTGACCAATTCTAGCCCCTTCTATATCTCTTAACTATTCAGCAGGTATGCCCCTTCTCAGCCTCTCCACACTGCCCATGGTCAACACATGCTTGCAGGACTTCTTGAGGCGGCTCTTTTCCTTTGGAATAACCCGACTATCGCCATCAAGCTCTTACCTAGTCTTCAATCATTTAAGAAGTACCGTAAACCCATCTCTTTAGGAAAGTTTAGAGCCTCCCAGAGCAGGGCCGCCATCAGGGGGTGACAACCAGACCGGGCCCCACGTGGAGCGACGAAACTGCCACAGGTGCATCTGCACCAGGGCCCATCAGGTGGCCCAAGCATTTAGGTCCACCCGATGGGCCCTATAATCTTCCGGGGCCCGGTCAGCGCTGTGGCCAGGTAATTGCGCTACCGGGCCCTTTTAAAAAAAATTGCGTCTACACCGCAAGTGCTGCTGGGAGGAAGTAACGGACGGTCACTTCCTCCCAGTTTACTCCGCCCGGGGGGAGAGCGGAGGAGAGAGAGAGAGAGGAGGACAGGAGAGGACACCAGAAGCATCCGCTCCCATCATCCCCAGCCACCCTCCTGCAACTTAAAGGTAAGAGGATGGTGGCTGATAAATGAAGTGTGTGTGTGTGTATATTTAGGTGTCTGCAAGTATGTTTGTATGTCTGTGTGTGTGTGTGTGTATGTCAGTATGTATATATGTCTGTTTGTCAGTATATATGTCTATGTATGTATGTGTCTGCAAGTATGTATGTCTGTGTGTATGTATGTCAGTATGTATGTATGTCTGTGTGTGTGTCAGTATGTATGTCAGTATGCATGTTACATAGTTACATAGCTGAAAAGAGACTTGCATCCACCAAGTTCAGCCTACCTCACATTTGTTTTTTGCTGTTAATCCAAAAGAATGCAAAAAAACCCAGTTTGAAGCACAATTTTGCAACTAGCTAGGAAAAAAATTCATTTTTGACCCCAGAATGGCAGTCAGATTTATCATTGGATCAAGCAGTTATTTCCCTACATTGAAAGATTATATCCTTGAATATTCTGTTTTTGCAAGTATGCATCTAGTTGCTGTTTGAACATCTGTATGGACTCTGATAAAACCACTACTTCAGGCAGAGAATTCCACATCCTGATTGTTCTTGTATGTATGTGTCTATCTGTATGTGTGTGTATATCAGTATGCATGTATGTGTGTGTGTGTATGTCAGTATGCATATATGTCTGTTTGTTAGTATGCATGTATGTCTCTGTGTGTATGCCAGTATGCATGTATGTCTATGTGTGTGTATGTCAGTATGCATGTATGTCTGTGTGTATGTGTCTATCTATATGTGTGTGTGCTACGTTTATATACATTGTTTTGCAATGCAGAATAAAGAATAATTCATAGTTATATTAAAGACAGGGAAGTGGTTACAATGTAGTGAATTGTGGGTTTTTTGTTCTGTTTTGTTTATATACTATGGATTGTTTTATTCAATTATTAACCACATTCACTTTTATATAAATGTGTTAGATTTTGAATAACAATACGAAAATGAATCTATTAGTTAATGAAACCTCAAGTCACTGCAGGGCCTTTCTGTACATTTCTCTGCATTGTGTAGATATGTAAAGGTTTTTCCTCACCCCTTTCTTTTACAGATCCTAGGCTTTTTTGTTTCTGAAAGCACAGGATAACACACTGCAGTAGTAACCTATAACACTATGCAGAGTAAGATTTAATTTATGGTCTACTGACATTCTTGGATTTTGTAATCTCTAAAACACCAGTGGATATTGCATAAATACCCAATTGCTGAAAAGTTTTCTATTTTATTTATATTTTAGTTTCACATCTATTTTATTGTCCAATATGTGCATAAATTATTCAATATCACTTTTTTTAGCTTTTTGGAATGATGGAGAGGGTGTGATTGTAGAATAATCGTATAATAGTTTATAACCCTAATATTTATTTGATAATGTCTTGTACAATAATTCCAATCCTTCGGGATAATTCTAATTGCAACTATAACTATTACCCTAGATGTCATAACAACCATGCCGTGTGGATGGGACAGTGTTGATTTTGGGGTCCTGAATTTGTCCCCTAGTAGGAGGACAGCAAGCAACTGTACTCCAAAAAGTGTAGCGCAAGCAAGTCATTAGTTACACGCACACTACACTAAGGGCCCTGGGAACCTGCAGAGATTGCTGAAGCTATGATTATGTCCTCATTGAGCTAGCCTGGGTGACAGTTCTTTTGCCATGCCTGTCCCCCTTCTCTCTTGACAGCACCAATGATGCCATTTCCTTTTACCTTGCCCACCAATATCCTGATTCCCAAGATGCTGATGTTGGGGAATTGTATAACTGCTAGTGTAGTTTTCCTACTCAAAACCTTCAGTGTACACATAACTTCTTTTGCATGGTCTTGATGAACAGAATTCTTCGAACATTGTGTATCTATATTCCAAAGATAGCTGGTAGCCATTTCCACAAGTAACCAAACTGAAGATAACATATTCCACAATGTTGCTATGATCATTCACTCTCAAGAAATAATTTAAGAACCATTCCTATCATTCTATGCCAAGTGACATCAAAAACAAAAGATGTTGCTTTTACAGGTAAATATTTAAAATATGTGCTAATAGTACGCTCCCTTGTAGTAATACTATGAACTATTTTCAAATCAATACAATGTACAATTGCCCTGCACGTAAAGGGTTAAACAATTCAATAAAATTCTTCATTAGGATCACACATTGCTTTCATTACCGCAGAACCATAAATGATGAGGAACTCTATTTTCTCAATACACAGAGAACCAACAGCCCAGGCTTTATTCAATGTCGAATCTCATAAAAAGATGACATTTAAAGTGACAACATAAAATGTTTTGCTGCAGAGAAAAAAAGTCCTTACCTGCAGAGCTTTCCGCACCACAACTTGTTTAATGAGGCGTCTTTTGAAGCTGAGCACATACGACTGATAAAACTGGAAAGGAAAGGACTTCTGGTAGAAGATCTAAGCTAGGCATTTTTTTTATTTTAATTCTTTATTTTTGGTTGTGCACGGGTAACAAAACATCATATGATGCCGCAATAGCATATGTAAGTACTGTAATATCACAGTAAGTTACATATATGTCATTGAAGTAGCGGCACATTTTTAAGGTGTGAGGTATTATAAACAGGCATGTTTAGCTATGTCAGTGGATTGACAACATTAATACATGAAAATTACACGGCACTAGCTGACATTATGCTTAGATGCAAGTACATGGTTAAAAAAAAAGAAAAGAAAAATTAACTAAAGCTCATTGTGTATGCTATGAGCAAATGTAAGTTATCTAGAGTAAACAGTAACATGTCATATTATGTAACGGCACATTTACCTTAATGGCACGAGTTAGAGAAGCATGGCTAGGTGTAAGGGAAACCGCAGCTACCAACTAAAAGTACTAACTGCCATGTTTATGAAACTTTGCGAGTGGGTTATTGCATGCTGACAATTATAGTGAAACCAGGATAAGTATGCCACTGAGGCCGACTTTATGTAAAAGAGTATATGTCGCGCTAACACAAAAAGGAACATATAAAAAAACTAAGCAAGAGAGTATTGATAACATTAGCTAATACGAAACATTTTCTAAAATGGTCTGTGGAAGGGAGAATGGCATCTAGAAATGGCTAGGTAGCACCAGCGGTAGTAGGGCTGCACAGTTGGACAAGTCCAGAGTCAACCTATGCCCAGACTTGGGAGGCATTCTATGGGAACAAGGTAGGCACTGCACGTAGTGGCACAGTGTGAGCAGGACAAGATAGTCCTCAGTCCCCAGGTTTGTGCGACTGACAGCTTCAGTGAGCCATGAGCTCTGAAACTCTGAGAGTCCCATTCTTTCTCCTTTTGGGGGGTCTTGTTAGACTGTTGCTGTCGGCGACAGGGTTCCCTCTGTCTGTGTTCTGCTTGGCGGCTTGTGGTAGGCAATATGAGTGCATGGGTAAAGGTTCTGTCTGGAGGGGACACTCTGTCTTCTTGTGCTTGGTGGGGTGCTGGTGCTGTGCGGCTTTCAAGGTTCATAGTCCATAATTCCTAGTGCAATTAATGGAAGAAAATAAGAAAAAAAAGTGAAAATGTACAAAATAAAGTCAGAAAAAAGAAATTAAAAACATGCTACAATAAAATGAATCCCCCTTTACCCATTGAAGGCTTCATGATGAGAGAGCACTAATCAGAGAAGATCATAGGGGGGATGCAGACTACCCAGGTGCACTGTAGATAGGTAAAGTGTGCAGTGCTAGGCCCCATTTCTTCTCACGTAGATCCCTCTCCCTCTCATTAGACCCTGCCCCCTCTGCCACCTGGTACCAACAAGAGGGGTGGAACCTATCTGAAAGGGTGGAGCTTAGCACTGCACACCTTGCCTATCTACAGGAGCACCTGAATGGTCAGCACCCCCCAGGATCGGCTCTGATAAATGTCTTTTATTGAAAGCATGGGAACATTTACCATGCTGTGCATTTTGAGTAAGAGCACCCTGATTGGTTGGCTAGTAAATCAACCAATCAGACCACTCTGACAGCCAAGTCATGAGAGAAGTCTCACTTACTCATATTGCACAGTGTGTAAAATGTTTTTGCAATAGCTGACATAGCATGAGCCCTGGAGACTAAGCCCTGCCGTACAGAACTTAAAGGAACTTAAGAGAAACTGCTATGTTTATAAATGGGTTAATCCAGCCCTCAAAGCCTCTAGTGGCTGCCTCATTGACAGCCGCTAGAGGCGTTTGCGTGATTCTCACTGTGAAAAATCATAGTGAGAACACGCAAGCGTCCATAGGAAAGCATTGTAAATGCTTTCCTACGAGACTGGCTGAATGCGCATGCAGCTCTTGCCACGCATGCGCATTCAGCCGAATGGGAGGAGAGGAGGCGGAGAGGAGGAGGAGAGCTCCCCGCCCGGCGCTGGAGAAAGGTAAGTTTTAACCCCTTTCCTCTCCACAGAGCCGGGCGGGAGGGGGTCCCTGAGGGTGGGGGCACCCTCAGGGCACTATAGTGCCAGGAAAACGAGTATGTTTTCCTGGCACTATAGTGGTCCTTTAACTCATTAGCTGAGAGTGATCAGTAGAGCCAACAGAATTTCATGCTTAGAAACTTCTGGCTCTCCATTGTTAATAGTGAAGGCTGAGAACCGTGCCCAACAGACCACAGGTAAGAAGCCAAATGTTCCAAAATTGGTTGACTACTTACAATGGGGCGGTGAAAGAGTGCTTGTAGCACCCATGAATTGATCTTGAAATAATTTTATTTTTGAAGAATTAGTTTCCCTTCTGTGGACTATGACTAATATAGGGAAGAACCTTTAACATGCCACCCATCACTATAAATAGGCTATATGAATCCATGAAAACATTGGGGATCTGGCAACATTATTAAAGGACCACTATAGTGCCAGGAAAACATACTCGTTTTCCTGGCACTATAGTGCCCTGAGGGTGCCCCCACCCTCAGGGACCCCCTCCCGCCCGGCTCTGGAAGGGGGAAAGGGGGAAAAACTTACCTTTTCCAAGCTGGAGAGCTCTGCCTCCTCTCCGCCTCCGTTGCCCCGCCCGGCTGAATGCGCCGCGCGGCAAGGCTGCGGCGCATTCAGCGATCTAGGAAAGCATTTACAATGCTTTCTATGGACGCTGGCGTCTCTCACAGTGAGAAGCACGCAAGCGCCTCTAGTGGCTGTCAATGAGACAGCCACTAGAGGATTAGGGGTAAGGCTTAACCCATTCATAATTATAGCAGTTTCTCTGAAACTGCTATAATTATGAAAAAATGGGTAAAGCCTAGCTGGACCTGGCACCCAGACCACTTCATTAAGCTGAAGTGGTCTGGGTGCCTAGAGTGGTCCTTTAAGTTGCCACACAAGTGAGTGTTCAGCAAAAAAAAAAAAAAAAACATAACAAGGCCAGAAATGCTAAGTCTATGTCTAAGTCTATATTCATAACATTTATTTATATATATATATATATATATATATATATATATATATATATATATATATATTGCAGATAATGCTGACAACATAGGATGATTGAATATCAATCTTATTTTTAAAATAAAAACACTTTTAGCCAATTAAACATCATACATTTGTGGATTAATCTGCTTTACAAAAAAAGAATTCTGTATCAGTTTGCATTTATAGATTCTTCTATATATATTAATTTTCAATGAGACAGAATGGGGTTAAATGTTCAGCGGTTTGCAGAATTTTCTTTATCTTTAATGAGATAGTAAATCCTCATAACAAGCAAACCGTATGTTAATGTCAATATTCAAGAAAATATGTGTTTTAACTTACAATTTTTCAAATGCATTTTATATCAGTTTCAGAAACTCACAGGCTGATACCAGATACCAACCAGGAAAATTAAAGCCTGCGTCCAGTTATTCAGTATACCTGGTGGGTTCATACATACTACAGAAACAATTCTGCACAGGTTTGGAAGCTAACCAAAGAGTTACATTTCAGAAATATTTTACTTTGCAACAGTTCTTCTTTCATAAAACGTGTACCCCGAGGTGCTAATTTTGCAGAGATTTTCAAACTTCGATGGGCAGAAAGACAGTGAAAGTTTTTATTTTTGTTAACTATTTAAAAGCAAACCTAATATATATACTATTTTCCAAAGTATTATGTTTAGTTTATCTGTTTGTCTATAAAATGTGATATCTTTTTGATCGATGTATAGGGAGCCATAGGTCATGGAACAGGCAACAAAGGAATTCCCCAGGCGCTGAAAGTGTTAAAGCCGCAGACTGTTTTAATGAAACAAAAAAGAACAGCAACGTTTCGACCTCCTCAGAGGTCTTTTTCAAGCTTGAAAAAGACCTCTTAGGACATGGGTCCTCAAACTCCAGCCTCCAGATGTTGCTGAACTACAACTCCCATGATTCTCTGGCTATGTAATTCAAAGAATCATGGGAATTGTAGTTCAGCACCATCTGGGGGGCCAGAGTTTGAGGACCCCTGTTGTTGTTCTTTTTTGTTTCATTAAAACTGTCTGGGGCTTTAACACTTTGAGTGCCTGGGGAATTCCTTTGTTGCCTTGTCGTTGTGGAATGGCTGGTCCTGCTCCGGAGCATCGGGTGGCTGCTGGGGTTGAGTGCGGCTCCTACCATCATCTTTGCAATACTTCATGGAACAAGCTAAACAGCAATAGCTCCCTAAAACTTCAACAATATCTTAATCGATTATGTAGATACTATGTAACTCCAATGTTCCTAAATTTAGCAGAGACAGAAAGACACCAACAGAGAAAATTAATGAACACACATTATGCCAGTTCTTCAAAAAAAATTTGCTGCTGAACTTATTTCCTTTATTGTATTAAAAGCAAGTTTACAAATCTCCAAAATCCTGGAATGTGTGACCATAAAAGGTACACAGGCACATTTGATGCACCTTTGACATTGCATGGTTTATTTTAAAATACATGCCATGCTTTGACAGCTAGTGACAACTTTAAAAAATAATTTGCACAACCCAATAATCTCTACAGATACAGTTCTTCTTTAAGGGGACACTATAGTCCCAGAACAACTACAGCTTATTGTAGTTGTTCTGGTGAGTATAGTCAGTCACTGCAGGCCTTTTTAAGAGAAATTGCAGTGTTTAGATTACAGCCTAGGAACACCACTAGTAGCCACTTCGCGGGTGGCTACTAGAGGTGCTTCCTGGGGCAGTGCTGCACAATCTGTGATTGGCTGAAAATCATCAATTAATGTTATTATTTATATTATGTTATTATTTATATAGTGCCAACAAATTCTGCAGCACTTTACAGTGGGTGGACAAACAAGCATGTAGTTGTAACCAGAGAAGTTGGACACACAGGAACATGCTAGAAGAAGTGGGGTAAAGTGACACAAAAGGTACGAATAGTATTAGACTAATCAACAGTTTAATTGATACCCTTTTATGAAGAAGTGAGTTTTTAATGATTTATTGAAGGAGTGGAGACTGGGTGAGCATCTAACGGGGGAGGGAAGTGAGTTCCACAGGAACGGTGCAGCCCTCGAGAAGTCTTGAAGGCGAGCATCAGAAGTGGGAGTATGGACAGAAGATAGACGTAAGTCTTCAGCAGAGAATAAGGGCCTAGACAGGACATACTTGTGTAATAGGGAGGATACATAGGTGGGAGCAGCATTATGTAGAGATTTGAAAGCAAGAACCAGAATTTTTAATTGAGCCCTATATCTTACAGGAAGCCAATGAAGGAGACGGTGGTGTCAATTGGGTCTTGGGTATGCCGATGTCAAAAGTCAGCAAATGGTGGTCAGATAGAGGAAAAGCAATAGTGGAGAGATTAAATGCAGTACAGAGATTGGTGAAGGCAAGATCAAGAGTGTTTCCCGCTGTATGGGTTGCTAAATTGGACCATTGCATGAGGCCAAAGGAGGAGGTTACAGAGAGCAGACGAGATGCATCAGTGCAGTTGGGGTTGTTGACAGGGATATTGAAATCCTCAAGTATAAAGGAAGGAGTGCTAGATGAGAGGAAGTGGAGAAGCCAGGAAGTAAAGTGCTCAATGAATAGCCTAGGATGACCAGGGGCACGGTAGATGCAGTGGTGTATCCTGGTTTTGTCCTGCCCTAGGCAGGACAAAACTCAGGCGCCCCCCAAACCCCCCCCCAACCCTCCCACGCACGTGCGACCCCCATCCATCCCTCCTCCCGCCCCGCCTACTAAATACACACACACTCACTGACAGATACGCATACACTAGCTAACAGAAACACAAACTCACTGACACACACACTCACAGGCAAACACACTCACACTAACAGTCAGACACACACACTAACAGTCAGACACACTCACTAACAGACAGACACACTCACTAACATACACACACACTCACTAACAGACACACACACACTAACAGACACACTCACTAACAGACACACTAACAGACACACTCACACACACACTAACAGACACACTAACAGACACACTCACACTCACACACACACTAACAGACACACTCACACACTCACATTAACACGTTTATTTTTTTTTTAAACCCCCCCTAAATGGTGTGGTGTTATTGCCAGTGATAAGACCAAGATTGCACCGATTTTGGCCACTGATTAGAAACAACAATGAAGGGGACAAATGTATTTTGTGGAAGCTGAGGTCCGTACAAATGACCAAGGCCTTAACGCCTGCATTACTGGATGCAAAATGTGTTTAAATCTGCATTAGAGCCAGCACATCATCCGGTAAAGCTTTTCCAGTAAAATGTTCAGCTTAAGGCACAAAAACTCTTATCGCTGGCAGCATCATTGTGAGTTTTATCACAATTCTATGCAGAATCTCATTCCGCCCAGTAATTGTTTAATGCATTCGATAAAGCCTCTTAATGCAAGCAAAAAAAAATTACACCACCTTTAAGTTTTTACATTATAATTCAATTTGCAATTAAATAAACCCCTGAATCTCTTAAGATGAATAAAGTAGTTTTGGTGCAAATTTCCTCTCCCTGTACTCTGATAAATTCCAATGTTTATATTTGTCAATAAGGATGCCTGTAGGGGCTATCAATTAGACAGTCACTAGAGGCATTTCTTTAAGTTATTTACAGGGACACTCCAGACACCCAGACCACTTCTGCCCATTGGAGTGGTCTGGGTGACACCTCCAGCATCGCTGAAATCCCCATAGGAAAGCATTGAAAGCATTTTTCAATGCTTTTCTATGGGGAGGTCTAATGCGAGTGCGCTGGCGACCAAGCATGCCCAATAAGTCTCCCCCGCCGTATGACGTCGGCGGGGGAGGAGCTTGGATCAGCGCTGGATACAGGAAAGTCACTGAAGGGGTTTTAACTCCTTTAGCAACTTGGGATGGGGGGTGGGAGGGAGAGGCGATCTGCAGTGCCAGGAAAACTATTTGTTTTCCTGGCACTGGAGAGTCCCTTTAATGCTGTGAATACTGTAATGCCTCATAGAGAAAAATATGGAACTCAGCGCTTTTTAATGAGAAACATCCAATTGGCAAAGCATGGCAATTACCACATAGGGAAGCACTTGATTTTCCTAAGATCATGTCAATGATTTTATAGTGGGTGGAGCAGCTGCAGTACCAAAACCGGGATGACGGATTAACGATAATTTAAATTTTCTGTTTTTTCATAAAATTTGGGGCCCAATAATCAAAACATGCACACAGACACTTTGCTATTGTAAACATATTTTTTCACAACATTAGAGTGTTCCTTTAACTATATTCTGATGTTTAATGTAATTGGTTCTTGAAAGGAGCTAGATTCTATTATATTCAAATACATTAACATATTTAATTGACTCATTTAAATTTCTATGCATTTTTTTCCCCAAGACATTTTACACAAGTTACATTTAACTCTTAGTGTTCTTTTTTCTTATCTAAGATAATCACATTGCACTTTGAGTCCACTGATATTGAGAATAAAGAGAATTATTTTTGAAAAAACAAGCACTATTTACTACCTGTTTAAACAAGAAGTATTTCGATGCACCATTAAATATTTTGATGCAACTATACAATGCATAGATATTTTGTTCAATTACCATAAATCTGTATACCTTATTTGCACATACCTTAGTATACAAAAAAAACCTCATTTCTATACCAAAGCTGTTACTCAAATCATTAATAAATCCTTGTAACGTCTATACATTGGGTAAGAGTATCAAGTTAATATCATGCAATGTTCATAAGATGCCGTCAATCAGACAGTTGACAGATTGAGACCAATTTATGCCATCTTTAGTTAGCTATCCGACTTACTGAGATTGACACATGACCCCAAAAACTCACCAACCTTTCCAGAGACATTTAACATTCACTTTGCAAATAACAACATTTCATTTATCTAATATGACATTCGTTGTGGTATTTTTTTTAAACTCACTTCTATTGTATTTCTTACTGTATTTCGAACACTAGAGAGGGTGATATTTGCCCCGTTGAAACTCAGGGAGTTAAAAAGCACATCATCTAAATATGAAACGCAGAGGTTTTATAAATTGCCAATAACAGGCCAAGCTTATTCAGTAAGATCCATTACATGTTGATAGTGTGTCTCAAATGTTTTATATAATAATCACTTGGGATTTACTGTCTCAATGAATATGATTTAAACACTTTTAATGATCAAAGTGCAAATCTTAGTCCATATAAAGGCTGAGTCCATGAATATAACTTCTCTAGGTGTTTAATATACCCAGAGACAAGGGGAATTGCATCTAATGTGAAATGTATTAGTTTGGCTGGCTGATGTAATTGTCATTTCAAGGCCATCTGAGGAAAAGATCTGTGATACAGACTAATCAATGATGGAAGGCAAAGTTATTTTTATATAGCTAGGCTAGTTTTTATTGGAAAATGTAATAATCATTTTTAACAAATGAAGAAAAACTCTAGGAGTCTGTCTGTCTATCTATTGATCAACAATGATTCCAAAAAGAAATATGTCAATACTTATTTTAAAGGACTACTATAGTGCCAGGAAAACAAACTCGTTTTCCTGGCACTATAGGGTCTTTAGGTCTCCCCACCCTCACGGTCCCACTCCCTCTGGGCTGAAAGTGAAGGAAGGGGTTCTTGCCGCGCATGCATCCAATCAGTCCATAGGAAAGCATGTCTCAATGCTTTCCTATGGACGTCCAGTGTCTTCTCACTGTAATTTTCACAGTGAGAAGCGTGGAAGCGCCTCTAGCGGCTGTCAATGAGACAGCCACTAGAGGCTGGATTAACCCTCTTGTAAACATAGTAGTTTCTCTGAAAGTGCTATGTTAACAGCTGCAGGGTTAATCCTAGATGGACCTGGCACCCAGACCACTTCATTGAGCTGAAGTGGTCTGGGTGCCTATAGTGGTCCTTTAAACAAAAAAAAGTTTTTATGTTTTTATTTTTTTTAAAACGAAAAGCCAAAATACTAATTGCGATATTTTGCTTTTGGCTGGTAATCTGTAAAAGTATGTCAAAACAGTCATTAAAAGTGTTTTGTTTATATTGTCCTACATTATTGTTGCAAAGCGAGGAACCTTTTGACACATATTGGGGTTCTTCGACAAATATCGGGGTTTGTATAAATAAGTTAATGTGCTCAATCACAACAGTCAGGTGGCAGTGATTTGTCTCAAAAGATCCAATCATCTGAAACACGTTCGTCCTCCCAAATCCTTTCATGATTGAAACCTAACAAATCAAAAAATAACATTGCAGTCAGTTGAAAATGAAATGTGCACCTTGGATAAAATAAAACCAAAATGCCACATACTGCGAGTGTGAAAAAGCTAAATTGGATATCAACTAAACAATTGCAGTTATTTTTTCTCTTCATCAAGCCTCTATAGATATGTAACGATTTCTGAATACTGAAAAGTGCTTAAGCTATAATTACTGAATACTTTACTTGCATTACATAGGGGCATATTCACTAAATGCCAAGTCAGTGGCAAAAAGGCAGATGCTACAGATTTAGTCCATTTCAATGAAACTGGGCACACAAAGCCTTTTTAAATGAAGAATAGCAAGTTGTTTTATTTTGTGTAGCTATAATTAATACTTGAAAGAGCAATGATGGAATGATTGGATTATAAAAATCTTCACTTTAACGACCTTATGTCAAAATAAGCAAGTTTTTTAAATGGACTGTAAACATCTGCAAATACTAACTGAGCAGGACATTCCAGACCTGCATAGAGTCTCTGTGGATCAAAGCGTGACAGCGTGAAATATTACTGGCTATTAAAGGGCTATTAGGAATCTATCATTCATATATGGTGTGGACCAATTCAAGTAAGTATATACTTAATCTATGCATCACGCTGGTGAAAATCACAAGCAAATGCATAGTAGATGCATAGTAGATTTGGAGAGTTGTTTCATTACACACTGCAATTTGTCTGAATTTGATCTGCTCAAGTGATCATACGATTTCCTGACTTCCAAGCCCATATGTATCATAATTACGAAACAAACGAATCGCGCAGTGGATGAGCATTCTAGTTTTGTGATTCAATATTCTGCTTGTGGTGCCAACAATAGAGATGACTACTTGCTAGGGGACAGCCACTAAATGCTGATTTTATTCACAAATCTAGTGAGAAGGAGCATTTTCCCACCATTTAGTTTTAAGATCAAGTGAGAAAATGACAACATGTAACCAATAAAGGGGACAAAAATATATCACCCTTTTTGTTCATCTGATTAGTTTTTCCATATCTTTTTTGCTAATGAAATTCGGACAAGCCAAACTGCCCCATATGGATGAAATTCGGCCATCCCAAACACTTTTTTTTTATTTTTAGACTAAGTGGTTTGGCTGAAATAAATTTTTTTGCCATGCACAAATATAATACATAGGTTATTTTATATATATATATATCTATATATATATATATATATATATATAGATATATATATATATATATATATATAGATATATATATAAATAAAACTAACTTTAGAGAGCACTCCAGGTCTCAAATATATGTAAATATTATATTTATTGAGTTTCCGAAAAATTAACTGTGCATTATATCAAATCGTCATCTCAACCCATTCGGGTCTTTGTCAAGACCACCGTGTTAAAACAAACGTGTGTATATATAAGAAAAACTATAAATGACTGACCAATCAAGTGATAAGACAGCCTAAAGACTGATTCGACCCGATAGGGTCGGAAAACCACGTGTGTCGTGAGCGTGCAACGGGATCTGCGTGGTTGCTTAGTGACTAACCAACATTACCCTGCAGTGGTTGCAAAACTTAAAGGATCCCCTTTTCCATCACTCCTAGTCACCCACACTTAAGATTGTGTTTTTACAGTTTTTTTCACAGCTACTTTTGGATCACCCATCACTTATGCACGCTGTCTCACACCAGCCCGTTCTTCTTTTTAGGTGTTTGTATATATAATTAACAATTCTCCATGCTAGATTCACGGTTTACAGAAACTTTGTTTGTTTGATCACTTAGCAACCAAGGCAGGGGAATGTTGGTTAGTCACTAAACAAGCACGCAGATCTCGTTGCACGCTCACGACACACGTGGTTTTCCGACACCATCGGGTCGAATCAGTCTTCGGGCTGTCTTATCACTTGATTGGTAAGTCATTTATGTTTTCTTATATATACACACACCTTTGTTTTAACACTGTGATCTTGATAAAGACCAAAATGGGTAGAAACGACGATTTGATATAATGCACAGTTAATTTTTGGGAAACTCAATAAATATGTATTTGAGACCTGGAGTGCTCCCTAAATTTCATTTTGTATACAGTCAATGCGGGATTGCACCTAGGCACTGATTATACTGAATTTTTTTACTATGCGAGGAGTGCCAAATACATCTATTTTGGTATATATATAAATAACAACACATGTGGATCCAGTACTCACTCTCCCAGTCTTGTCGTTGCCTGGGTGTAAATCACATATGCCAAAATATAAATATCAAAAAACTTCCACTCACAGGACTTTGCAGATAAATCTTAAAGCTTTTTTTTTTTGCAATCATACAAATGAAAATGTGTCGACATTCATATATTTACTATGTGACGTGCTATTTGATACATTATATTGACATAGGCTTATTCACTAAACTGAGAATTACAGAGAAGTGACAAGGGAACTGCAAATTTTGGAACCAAATTAGCAGAACTGAACAAATAGCTGAGTTCCATTGTAGTTCTTCTGCTCTAAAAATAGCAATCCCCTTGTCAGTTCTCAAGAATTCTCAGATTAGTGAATACGCGCAATAGTTTTACCCTTGGGCAGTAATATCAGTAAAAGTTACTTGTTGTACTAACCCTTCAACACGGTACATAAAATTTTCCATCAGCATTTAAATTCTCATTGAAGCTTTTATAAAGAACTTCGTAAAAGTCCCGGTGGGAGCTGAAACATTGACTAACTAAACCACAAGGGTCGATCTGAACAATACGATCTTTCGCTACTTTGTCTGTTTACTATATTTGTACTAAGTTGAACACCAGGACATAAACTAGATATTCTCTGGAGTACAGTATACTAGCTCTGGTTAGTTGTATATTGGGTATTATTATGCAAATGCGAGCAATGTGATAGTTGGCTTACTACTATCCAAGACCTTACATCATTTGTGTTGGAAGTACATTAAAGACAAGTGTTGGAGAAATGACAATCAGTTTTCACAATTTAGTTTAAACTAGCTGATTTGAAAAAAATCTCTAACTTGGCCAAGATGGAAAGTTTTTATTACGACTCAGCTATTTTTCAAGTGGTACGTCTTTGTAGAACTGATAATAAAGTTTAAAAAAAACTGAAATTTAATTAGCAGTGTCCCTAGATAGAATCCCAAATGCTTATCTGCATCTGAATCCTGAACCAAAGAGTCTAAAGGAAATAATGCTACATAATACATTAATTCAAATTAAAAAAAAGTAAATACAAGTTAGACTTTCTTTTATTTCTTCTTATTTTCATTTAATTTATTTTTTGAGAGAGAGATCTTTTTGTATTTCACATTTCCCTTTATACAAAGCTCAGCTATTTTTGCCCACGATTTCTAACAATTTATAGGAAATTAAAGAAACTCTATTAGTTTTGCAAATCACATATTGATTACATGCCTAGTGGCCATTGAAATACAGATAGTATTTAGTAGAATTAACATGGGATTTAACAGGGATTTGCAAGTATAGGCTAAATAAGTCAAATTGTATTAAAAAACAAACAAACATATATATATATATATATATATATATATATCACAACACAACATTTCTTCTCCAGCTCAGCTCTATTGGCCAAAACCTGCATTCTACTTGTCAATTTTATAAAATTTCTGTTTTAGCATATCCACATAGGACTCCCTGATTCTTCTTCTTCTGACGAAGAGATGCCATTTTAAAGTTTTTGTTTTCCCTTACATTGAATTTCTGAAAAATGGCTTTTTAAAGTGTATGTGATGTTATCACAATGACAATATTCCTTAGCAGGTATGTAGTTTGCGTAAATCATTCCTATCTTTAAAGCTTTCTCCTACGCAGACTATCCTGGCTCAATTCATGAACACAGCTGATCTGCAGCTACTGTATTACATCGCTCTCTCTTTCCGCATCCCACCTCTCTCCCTTAGCTATTCTTGTTCATCTCACTCTCCATATAGCATGCCACCTTATGCCACCATAAACCTATCCTATTACCAAAATCAATCAGCAAGTTTTATTTTCACACCTTTTTAAATAGCAAAACGAATGGCGTGGAAAGGCAACCTGATTAATAATTGTAGGTTGTTGAAAATTGACTTTTTATGGGCCTTAGAATTAAACAATCCTTGGCAGATTCATTCATCTTTATGCCCTAACTCTTATGAAATAGCTTTCAAGATGCACCTATACTAAGAGCCCCTTCATAAAAAAGCAATATATTGTGCAGTCGACTTGCTCAAAAAAATTAGATACAAAAACACCAAACAATATTATTAGAAAGATGAATAAATGACATATTAAAAGGTTCTACCTTTAAGAATCAAAGATATGGTAATTATGTATAATAAATAATTAAAATTGCAAGCCTGTAAGCAAGGATTCCGCTTTGCCATTAAATTCTCCCCTACCTCCAAGGTGTTTGAACGTCCTTGAATATCTTACAATTTTCTGCATGAACTCTCAGTGTATTTATGCTTCCAATATGCACTGAATGCATGCCTACCTCAATTATATTTCATTTGCCTCAATGAATCACCATATTTTGAGAATTTTTTTGCTTTATCTTCTATAGTCAATGCATAGCTACTCGTATGATATTGGTTGAGACAGTCTATTTCCAATTAATTAAATGAAATTGCCAAGTCTAGAGTAAGTGACATTGCGAGAGATATACTAAGTTTCACTCTTCTGTCACAGGAATATGTGGCGTGGACTAACAAATGTTTGTATCATTGCAAAGTTAAAGGTGATTATCCTTTTGTCATTCTAAACTGTTGGTGAATATGTAGGGCATTAAATTAAATTTATAAATGTATAGTATAACATTAGAACAAATTAAAATAAGAAATGGTCTTATAGGCCAGGTTGTGAATTTGTCTTTTTATATATACGGCTGAAACAGTTCAGCGGCAGAACGTTACAGTAACCTAGAAAACCTCGAGCTAGGTCCTGGGGACCCTAATACATTAACAAAGCAATAAATAAGATTATATCGGAAGTTATGTAGAAAAATACAGTTCTGCAGTAAATTGTAAAAGAAGAGTAACCACCATATGTCTGGTTCCCATGGTGATTGCACAACTTTTACAATTTTGCTCTACAATTATTACTTGCATCTAACCCTGAATCAAATTGATTCCTGATAAATTGAGAAAAAATTACTTCCATTCAAAGTCCTACAGAACATACTTACCAGATTAATAATAAAGTAATAATAGGGTATTAGGAATTCCAGTTATGGTACATTGAAAAATACAAATAAAAACATAAAAACTCCAATATCTTGTGGTTTATAACCAATTCTGTAAATACACTGCACAAGTAACATGTAGAATTTTGCTCCTACACAGCCCCTATGGCTGAATGTCAACATCTTACCCTCCATTCCCAAATACACTAAGATCATATAACCTTATGATATAGATGTTTGCACCTGTGAGATAACTTACCTGAAAATATAAAATCTTTCACAAGCCTACATTGTCTGAAAAAAAAACTACATTTTCTGTGTCTAACCAAACCTGTAACAAATATCAATGATTATATAGTTATATAGCTGAAAAGAGACATGTGTTCATACAGTTCAGTTCAGCCTTTCTCACATCTGTTTTTGCTGTTTAATCCCTTAGTGACCAGACCATTTTTAAATTTTCTTACCAGGGCTATTATACATTTCTGCAGTGTTTGTGTTTAGCTGTAATTTTCCTCTTATTCATTTACTATACCCACACATATTATATACTGTTTTTCTCGCCATTAAATGTTTTATTCTAAAGATACCATTATTTTCATCATATCATATAATTTACTGTAAGAAAAATTACAAAATATGATGAAAATATTTAAAAACACACTTTTCTAACTTTAACCCCCAAAACCTGTATCACATCTACTTTTTTTTGCACGTTATAGGGCTATTAGTACAAGTAGGACATTGCTGTTTCAAAATATATATTTTTTAAATTTATCAATAGTGACATTGTAACACTGTTATCTGTCATAAATCTCTGAATCACACCTCATGTGTACATATTTTTTTAAAAGTAGACAACCCAGGGTATTCTATATGGGTTATGTCCAGTGTTTTTAGCAGCCACTTATTTACAAACACTGGCGAAAGTTAGCATTAATATTTGTTTGTGTGTTAAAAATGCAAAAAAAAAAAAAATGGCCAGTGTTTGTGACTAAGTGGCTACTAAAAAAGACTGAACATAACCCATTTGCAATACCTTGGGTTGTCTTCTTTTGCAAATGGCATGACATCATGGGGGTAATTCTCATTCTCATTCCTGGGCTACCATACGCTCTCAAAGACAACATAACCAATCTGTCAAATTTAAATGTGGAAAAACAGAAAATCAAGCCTTATATTTGTAGCTTTCAAAAACACTATAAAACCTCTACATTGGGGGTACTGTTATACTCGGGAGACTTTGCTGAACACAAATATTAGTGTTTCAAAACAGTAAAATGTATCACAACAATGATCTCATCAGTGAAAGTGCCGTTTGTGTGTGAAAATGCAAATAATTTGATTTTCATTACAATATCATCGTGGTGATATGTTTTACTCTTTCGAAATACTAATATTTGTGTTCAGCAAAGTCTACTGAGTAAAACAGTACCCCCATGTACAGGTTTTAGGGTGTCTTGGGAAATTACAGGGTTAAATATAGTGCTAGAAAATTAAATTCTCTGGACTTTTGGCCTGGGTTGTCAGGCAGGTCCCCCAAATTGCAATCAATAAAATTACTTAATTATGTAAAAATATTACATAAATATGCACATAGAATTTAAATATATAAACATATGTATATATTTGAAGTCTACGTGTATATTTATGAAATTATTTATGTAATTATGTATATGGACATATTTATATTTTGTACTATATTTATTTATTTATATATGGTCCAGGGGGGGGACTAATACGTATATATTTTTTTTAATTAATTAATCTACACTGAGTGCCTCGACCCCTCAAGGCACTTAGCACACAGGCAGAGTATCGGAAGCCTGCCCGATGGCTTCCGATGCTATGCAACACTGCCAGGCACCACATGGGGCAGGTATGGGGAAGGCATTGCAGGATGCTGTAATACCGGTAGGGCGGCTTGAAGCGATCACGATCATTCACATTTGCCGCGGACTAACCAGGTACGTCTGAGATCGTTAACGACAATTTTTTGTCGGACTTACCTGGTACATCCGTGGTCACGAAGGCGTTAAAGCCCTTTCCAAATTTGCAACAAACTAGTTAAAAATTTAATCTTGACTCCCGAATGGCAGTCAGATCTCTCATTGGATCAAGAAGCCGTTACCTCATGTATTAAACATGATATCCCTGAACAATGTGGTTTTGCAAGTATTCATCCAGTTGCTGTTTAAGCATCTGTACAGACTCTGATAAAACCACTACTTCAGTCAGAGAATTCCACATCCTTATTGTTCTTTCTGTAAAAAATATATTTTTGCCTTAGACTAAGTCTAATTTCTTCCAGTCTAAATACATGATCTTGTGTTCTATATAAAGTCTTGTCTATGAATAGATTTTCAGACAATGGTTTGCATTGGCCCTGAATATATTTGTATAATGCTGTCATAGTATGTTTTCCTGGCACTATAGTGGTCCTTTAACCTTTCTAACTATACTAAAACTTTCCATTTCTTTTATTAATTTTTTAGCCTGTCTCTATACTTTTTCTTGTACCATAATATCCTTCTTTAGAACAAGTGCCTAAAATTGCACAGCATATTCAAGGTGTGATCTTACCATTGTTTAAGAAAGAAGCAAAATTATTTTTTCAACTTGAGAATGAATGTTCACTTTTATACATGACAATACCTTACTGGCCTTAGCAGCTGCTGATTGACATTTCAGCTTTGTTTCATGTTTGTTAAGCACACAGCAGCCACAGGACTTGCTTAAAAATGAAAACACTTTATAAATAAATATATAAATAAATCTATAGAAAATACTTTCATTTCAGCTATACAGCTATAATTTCTATGGGGACAATATATAAGGTTTCTCTTTGAAATTAAGAATTGCTTCTACCAACCATAATAATACAAGCCATCTTGCGAGAACAAAGCACAACCTAGATATGATAAAAGAAAATCATTTTCATTAAACTTTATGAGTTTGTGGCTCCCATCATTCAATATTTTTCAAATGCTTAAAAATCTTCCATTGCTGCTTGCAAGCTTGAAAGATGAAATCTGAAAATGTCAGGAATGCTTTGCAGATCTCATCTAATTTTATTTAGCGTTATATGTGAACACGGCTTGGGAAACGAGTTTGACTTGCCTACTATAGATATATAATTTTGATGGACATCATAAGGTTAAGGTTGAAACAATGTGAAGCTGTTGAAGAATTTGTAAAAAATAAATAAAAATAAATATAGATCTAGGAGTCAATCAAAAGAGGCTATTCACTAAACAGCAAGTTTGGTGCATTGACACCATGTAAAATTTATGATGGCTCATTTGGCAACATTTTCAATTTTTTAACAGAGTTAACACTTGTAAAAATGTGTCTCTCATCACAATACACTTTCCAAGTGAGTTCTCAGCTGAAGGCAATTTGCGTTTCTTAAATAGGCCTGTATATGATTTCATCAGGTCACAGAGTGAATAAACACAACAGTTCTTGTAAATCCTTCTATAAAATAGGCTGATTGGGGTTTCTTCTCCAAATCCTTAGTATTTAATACATTTAATGATCCTGTGTATTATTGAACAATGTAATATCCAAGCCAAATGTCTCTGCCAGCAGACTTTGGAAACTTGTGTTCATCAAATCGTCACAATGATTAGATCTTAGCGTGAACTCAGTTCAACCAATAAGGGTCCCTAACCATCCAAGATCTTCCTGAAATTCATAAATATGGTTAGAGATCGAATTTGTGTTTGAAAAAACACAGCTGGCAAGTTTTGACTGAGTTTTTATTAAGCACAAATGGAAACCAAATCTGTATAGAACACAATGGAAAAACAGCAAGTCAATGTAAAAGTGTTTATCTAAGCATTTTGTGTTTATGTGTTTCTTATTTCTGCAGTTTTTATTGTAACTTGATCAATAATAGTGTAACATTCTGTACCATAAAAATATGCAAATTCTAACAATCAAAGAGTCTTTATTTCGAAATATCTGTTCTACTCTGTATAATACATGATGATGTATACTGGTTGCTGCATTGCAGTGCTTTTATCAAAGTAGTGTTTTAAAAGGACAAGAGGATATAGCTTTACCTGCCTCTTATTGGAACAGTTTTTCTATGTGTAGAATCAGCTGTAACCATCAAGACAATGGTTAGGATGGCTGGTCACACGTAGCTTGTTATCTATGTAAATGACTTATAGTTTAAGATAGTTTCATAGAGGATTTTAGTCTAATGTAGCCGTATTCACTTGACACCTATTTACAGTAAACATGCACACATTTACTATTTTATGATAATTGTGGTTTATAATCTGTCCAAAGTATAACTTTTGCCCAAGATGGAAATATCACGTTCTAACATATAATTTGAACTAAATTCAATTACATAATTATAATTATTATATAGAATGAAATTCAAATATTTTACCATAAACTACATTTTGCTTTATGTGCTTCAAATTGTTTTGCTAGTGTGGTATCCCAGTTCCAGGCACTGTTTAGATGGTGTAGCTTTTGGACACATTCCCCACGATCAAACATTATGCATTCTATTATCGAACACATGCAACCAATGTAGTGCAGTTTTGTGATATAAGATATTATGTGATATAAAAACGTGCAATAAACATATAAGCTGAATTTATGCATGGTTATATACCATAGTTTTGTCATTAAAGTCAACTGAAATCAATTCTGATGAGATTTTTTGTGTTTGGTATTGTTGGTGTTACACATTTCCCGATATGTACCACAATAAGCCATATAAAGAATTTATTTGACAGTTTCTCTATTAAGGCAGCTTTGTGTATTTCAAGAACCAATTAATGCATACATATTTTTACAGTCATGAGTACATGTAGGCTAGAGGGCTAAATAACCCGCTGTAATTTTGTATACTGACAGTATGACTTGTGGTTCTGCTTAGAAAACAACCCACCATATGTCAATCATCAACAATTCCTACTCCCAACCTATATGACACCTAATATTCATAAACTCATTATGGATTGAAATAGTATAAGTATTACAGCTGCCATTGTGCAAAACTGCAGTGTTGCCATGGCAACACCTGTATTCATAAAGCAAACATCTTCTACTCTAAATTGCTGCAGGGTGAACGGCAACTCGTGGAAATCAAGTGTGACCTTACATGCAGTAAAAAAAGTCACGTCTTTAAGATGGCATTTTGGAGAAAATACATATTTGTTGTATTTTTCTTCTTGGATTCTATTATTAATTCAATATACAATACATCATATATTTCAGCAAACATAAGCCTTACCACTAATGTAAGTCAAGGGTAGATTGTGTCACTAACCTGGTAGGCCAATAAGAAGCTGGAACCCAATATACAGTACAACTTATCAAGCATGACCTTTAGGGGAACCTGGAAGTGAGGACAGGATCCTAGGAGATCTGTATTGGCACTGGAACTTTATTAATGTAATAAAGTCCAAGCGAGGTGTCCAAAATGAAGGTGAGGTTATACAGTCGGAGGTCAGGGAAGGCAGCAAGGGTATATGAATTATTGAAGTCAAGTAGCTAGGAGATCCAATGATGGAACACGTATTCAGGAACAGTTGCAGGAGCAAGGTATGGTTTCATGTCAGGAACGAAAGAAGAAGTATGCCAGGTAACCTTAGCCAATGTTTCAGAATAACTAAGCACTGGACACAGCAGTGCATTTTTAACACACAGATATAGCAGAGACCAGAACGCCAACTCTGGAAGTGTGGACAGCCACAACACGGTAAAGACGATACTGAAGGCAAAGTTGGTGGAACAGGTAAAGGACTTCCCCCAATGCCCATTAGACAGATACTTTTTACTAGTTACAATAGAAGGTACTCCAAGGTACCGACTGAAGCTTGGAAGATATTTCACCTCATTTATTCTTACATTGCTACTATCTTATCATGTGTTACTATATAATTGTTACCATTTATACATGTAGTTAGCCACCGTAATTTTCTGTGCATGTAGTTTTTCCATTGTCATTTAATGTTTCTGACCAATATTTCATGTACACAGTTATTAATATTTTGGGTGATAGAATTTGGTTGCTAAACTTTTCAATTGTATACAACTCATGGCAGCTTTAGCCCATCCCCCCCCTCCCTCTCTCATATGCTCCTCCAGGCTGTAAATAACTTCATATAACTGTTCCATCTCTGTTCTTCAGGCCTCACCTCACAACTCATACTCAGTGAAGCTCTGCATTTGTTCTCACCACTAGGAATCTGAGGAGTGCCAGTGGAGGTATACCTAGGCTGTTATGTAAACACTGCCTTTCCTCTGTAAAAACAGTGTTTACTGCAAAAAGCAAATGATTATACTCACAAGAACAAATACAATAAGCTGTAGTTGTTCTGGTGACTATAGTGTCCCTTTAAGTGTAGTTTTACATCTCAATGACTGGCAGAAACTCTTCTCCAAGAAAAAAAACTATTAAAGACAAACTGAATATTTTTGAAAAAATATTATAAAAGTACACTTTACAGCATATACTTCTAGGTAATAAATAAGAAAAATGTTAATGAGCAGGCCTAAATTAAAACTAAACCTTGGAGAGAAAAGTGTGTAGAGAGTAGTTGTTCATGGAAAAATTTCAAGTTGACCAAAGGTGGTAAGTGCCCCTTAAGGTTCTGTTTTGGATCCAATTCTCTTCAACCTGATTATTAATAATCTTGCAATTGGCAATCAAAGTGGCATGTCACAGTTTGCAAAAAAACACAAAATTAGATAAGATAGTACAGTCTGAGCAAAACATAACTTGGAATTGGAAAATAGTTATCTACAGGCAACTATCTACAATGTTAGGTAAAAGTTTAGTTATAAACCAAACTTATGGCCCAATCTGGCATACATGGGGCAATGTTCAGCACTTGTTTACTATGAAAAAATAAAAATAGTGCAGAAGCAGGTTTTAAAATTAAAGGGACACTCCAGGCACCCAGACCACTTCTGCCCATTGGAGTGGTCTGGGTGCCAACTTCCACTACCCTTAACCCTGCAACTGTAATTATTGCAGTTTTCAAAAACTGCAATAATTACCTTGCAGGGTTAACTCCTCCTCTAGTGGCTGTCTACTAGATAGCCACTAGAGGGCACTTCCTGCTTCATAGCACAGGTTTTCTGTGCTAGAGCGTCACTAAATTCCCCATAGGAAAGCATTGAAAAGCACTTTCAATGCTTTCCTATGGAGAGCTCTAATGCGCATACGGGGCATTGCCGCGCATGCTAATTTTTTCTCCTCAGATGGCAGTCTTTCCCGCCGGCTGACGTGAGGAAGGGGAGGAGCGGCGGTGACCCGGAACCACCGCCGAGGGACATCGGCGGGGGTCTCAGGTGTGTCACTGAAGGGGTTTTCACCCCTTCAGCAACCGGGGATGGGTGATGGGAGGAAGAGGGGACCTACAGTGCCAGGAAAACGGATTCCCTTTAATATAGTTAATGGAACTAGGAGTTCATCCAGCAAATGACTGCAAAATTGTTTCATTATTATTTTTTCTCCTCAGACGGCAGTCTTTCCCGCCGGCTGACGTGAGGAAGGGGAGGAGCGGCGGTGACCCGGAACCACCGCCGAGGGACATCGGCGGGGGTCTCAGGTGTGTCACTGAAGGGGTTTTCACCCCTTCAGCAACCGGGGATGGGTGATGGGAGGGAGAGGGGACCTACAGTGCCAGGAAAACGGATTCCCTTTAATATAGTTAATGGAACTAGGAGTTCATCCAGCAAATGACTGCAAAATTGTTTCATTATGTGTATTGTTGTACTCCTATTGGACTATGCATAATGAATAGAAAATCTGACATAAAATACTCTAAATGTCCAGCTGACCACGCAGACATGTATCATTGTTTTTTGGGATTGACCGATAATTGGGTATTTCTTGAAGGAAATCCAACGTCATTTGAATACACACTTGACTAAAATATTTAGTACTATAGATACTGCAATGCAATATTGCAGGTCTAAAGCCAACAATACCATCTCTCTTTGTCTCTCTTTCTGACAAAATTACAACATTTAATTGGAATGGATTGGATTAACACATTAATAAATAAGGAAATAATGGAAAAACCTTTTCTCCAAATTTGAATAAAAAAATACATATTGACTTTAGATCTCCCATTTCAAAATATAGTATGCACCATGATAGAATACACAGCTTGGTATTCCTCTGAGGGGGTGACGAGCCACATGCCTTTACCAATTTTAACATAATTAACTGTTGTTCTGTTCCTGACCTTGTCTCCAAAAATCTACCCTTCCAAGATTTTCCAATTTTGGAGATAGGTAATGAACGTAACGTTTAAAGAACTTAAGTGATGTTGTGATGGAATATACCATCCCTCTCCCTCTGGTAGCGGAGGAAGGTCTCTTTGTCTCTTCTATCACCCCAAAACAACCTAACTTCACCACAGTTTCCCTTGACTAGTCTACTCCCCCCCCCCCCTTTTCATTATTTGGTATAAACTTGAAACAAGAATGTTTTCTAAAGTGAATTATATTGTATTACTACTGCATAAGTATTATTTGATTCTGATGTACTGATGGAATTTGAATCATAATCCCCATGCAATATACTCTCAATAAAACATATTATTAAACAAAAAAAATGAATGTAAGATATTAGTTATAAAGAAATGCTATAAAACTTGAATTTGTTTACTTTAAATACAAAACAACAGGGCCAGTATAAACAACTCTCCATTTAGACTTGAAAAAAAGGAGATTCTGTCAATGGTAGAGTAAAAAGTAAGATGGCACAATACAATATGATTTTTTTTTTTTTTGCATATGCCTTTAAGAGATCCTGGTGGAGTCGCATATCATCTTTCTATTTAACCCCTTAAGGACCAAACATCTGGAATAAAAGGGAATCATGACATGTCACACATGCCATGTGTCCTTAAGGGGTTAAACCTTCACCACCAATATGTTTTGCACTGATTTTGTATTCACAACAATGTTGATGCTCTGCATTTATAACCTTTCTTTAATGCAGGACTTTCTACTTCAGGTCCCACCTCTCAAACAGGTAGCTCATCCAAAAGTCCTTACCAATCCACCTTAAGCTCATACTTAAATCTCATGTTCCTTTCGTCACTCACACACTTTTGGTAATAACACTGCATCTCTGACTCACTCCATTCCCTCATTTCTTCTCTGATTTATATACTGGCACTTTGACTGCTGGCTACGACTTTAACCACTGATTCAGATTGACACCTCTGGGACTGACCTCTCGTTATTTGTATGTATGGATTTCCTTTGGATTATCCCCTTTGGGATTCTGATTTGGTTATTTCTAAGGACTAATTCACGATATTGACCTCCTGACTTGATTACCCTATTGTCGCTTTAACTGACCTACAGACTGGGTCTGTAGGTACATTCTTAATTGTGTCAGTATACCAATAAACAGCATGCCTAAATTGTGTAATACATAGAATCTTTAGATCTTTATTATTTAAAAAAAAAAAGGTTAAAAACTCTTTTTATTATAATAATGATTTGGATACTGCTCTATTTGGGTCCTGGCCTCTCTCCTTGTCTACTACTTATATAGGAGAACCTGTTTGGTTGAACACACCTGAGAGTTGAGAATATCTATCCTGTCTAATTATCCTGTTGTATACCTCTCAAGCTGCATTTTTCAAACCCAGAGCCAGGGGTGATTAGGCTCTGGTAACTTTTGGTTTGATCCTAGATACTCCTTGTACTTTATATTGTATATATAAGCTTAACCAGATGGTCTGCACTATATGTGTTTATTTTATTTTTTGCAGAACAACATTTGAAGATTCTATGTTTTATACAATTTAAGCAGGCTATTTATTTAGTGTGCTATTTTGACTTTTAATTTGAAATTTACTTTGAATTCACTCTGAATTCTCACTTTAGTGAATAACCCGGTTTGAACACATTTCAAATTGGCCTAAAATATAGGAAAACAAGTAAAATCATTAGATAAGAATAGTGCCTAAAGAAGTTTTATTTTATCAGACCTTTTAAACAATGACTAGAAGTTTTGGGGGAAAACTAGAAAATGAATGGCTTTAATGGTTTTTATGTTGGGGAAACAGCTATTTTAAAGTCTAGGGGTGCCCAATAGGTAGATCCCCAGATATTCTAAAACTACAGCTTCCATGATGCTTTGTCATTTTAAAGACATGCAAAGCATCATGGGTGTTGTAGCTCTACAACATCTGGGGTTTTACCTTTTGGACCCCTGGTATAGAAGGATTTTTCCAAAAATTGTCGCAAAATAAAAAATAACCACAAACTTTTTTTTTTCAAGAGCAGTAATACAGATGCATGAATATCTGAATTTGACCAATGTTAATCTTGTTTGTTTAGCCTAGTTTACTATATAACTATGTAATTGTGTTTTTACTCAACAATTATGGCAACTAAAGTACAACATTCAAACTTAACATTTATTGAATCAAATCCTTAATACATTTTACTGTGAACAAATTGTATTTTGTTTTTTAAATTGTTTGTCCAATAGATATTCTTTGACATATGAAATTTGCTAGGTGGTCTTCGACACACAACTGATTATCCCTTTGATATTAATGTTTTCATTCTTTATAGAATTTTTCCATTGTCAACAATATCAACAATTTCAATAACAGGTGTTGAGAAAAGGAAGGAGAGGAAGAAGGTAATCTAGGGACAGGAAATAAACCTTTAAATGAAGAAATCAGAGGAATTATCATTTTGCTATTTTTAAAAAGTCTTAACTTTGACTGTAATGCTGTTTTTGGATCCAATATGAACAGATTTTGATTGGTCATTTATTCAAAAACATTGTAAGTTTTTGATAAACAGTTTTAGGTAAAAACAATAAATATTGACTTCTGCATTTATATATTTTTTTATTTATTGTATGCTTCAGACTTATTCCTAATCTCCTACACATACAGACACAAAACAAGTTATTATGTCTATGAAAACTCAAAGAGAAAGAAGCATTTTACACTTGGGCATTTGTTTTTGGACATTTTCATATTGACCTGCCTGTCAGAGCGCTGTGATTGGTTGGCTTACAAGCAACCAATCTGACTGCTCTGTCTAAACGTGCATGGTGGGGAGAATCCCTTAGCGTTTTTCCCACTATGCAACCTCAGCTTGTGCAGAGCACTTGATGGGCAAACTAGGATCTATTTTTAAGTGTTGTGAGGGGGAGGGGAGATTTTTTTGTGATTTGTCCTCTTTTATTTTAAAAGTTGCAAAGGGATTTTAATGTTTTTTTTTTATTTGGCTATTTTAGGGCTAAGGAAAAAAATCTTTAAAAAGAAAGAAGACTTCTGATGGTAAATATGATTTTTTTTTAACATGAAATCAGTTTGTTTGGCCCTTCTACATTTTATTAAGGGAGGGGGTAATCAGTTATTTTTTTTATTGGGAGATTTCATGGAGCTTAGGCACTCTAGTCACCAGGTGGTTTTACAATTTTTAATTGGACAAAATTTCAGTGGGGTGTGGACAACAGTGTGCCCATTCCCTTAAATATTATTAGCCCCCACTTCATTGTTCAGGGGTGTGGGGACCTTAGATCCCCCACAGGTTAACCTTTCTTTATTTAATAGCCCCACCCAATGCCCATGGGTGAAGGTTTAGGGGACATTAGGTCTTTTGTGTGATAAGTTCCCTTTCTTATTCATTTTATTTAATAACCCCCACCCACTGGCCATAGATGAGGGAATTGAGGGGACCTTAAGCCTCCAACTTTATGATTCATTGTGTAAGCCACTGACTGCTTAATGTCTAGTAGACATGCTTCTCGGCAGAGAAGGAATGTAATGAGGGAGTTTTAAACCTGCCTTATACTATTAGGGGAATCATATTGAACCCCATGGGCTTTTATTTGTTAATGTAACTCTCGGGGAAGGTTGAAGAAAGACAGCTCTGCTCTTTGACCCTTCCATTTTAACCCTTTCACTCACCAGCAATGAGAGGGACCTTAAAAAATAAATGTGCTTATCCAAACTTCATTTGCAATGAAAATATTCAAATCAAATTCGGACGAACGGAACCTAGGCACAGATACATTTCCCAATAGGTTTTCATTTTCTGACAAAACTATTTGGATTAACCACATTTGCCTTCCCCGCACATGTCTAGAGTATTTCTATCATTGGCCATATTCTTCCTGCGGTGGTATTGTCAAACATTATCATATAAAAACACAAAAAATATATATATATATACATATATATATATATATATATATGCGGTAAATCCGCCGACGGTCAGCAACTACACGATGGTGAAAACATGCGGCCAACGGTAGGCCGAGGCGGGGGGGGCGCTCTCCTTGCACTCACGCCGACCACGGAGCCCACAATCACTCCCACCCTCCCCTCTATGGACCAGCGGGGCTCATCCTGGTCCCCCATAAGGCACATACATTCTAGCAAGAGGGGCCCAGCAGAGCAGGATTCCCACATGGAGGGGGCCAAGATGGCCGCCGTACCGAGGCCCATTTCACTCCAAACCCCCAAGATGTGGGCCACCGGAGAGAACGGTATTGCCAAGGCCTTTAATGCATTCTGGACCAAATACCGAGAAATAACCCTACAGAGCGAAGTACAGTGTGCCACTGCAGCACCAACCCAAAGCAACATACCGACGGACAAGAATCTAGGCCAGGCAGACCTTAAGCAAGCCACACGGAGGCTGGAGGGGAAAGCGGAGGCAACACAACAGGTGGAAGGCCACTCAGGACCTGACCCGGCCTCACTCACCAGACCAACCTCAGCCTGCCAACACCCGCACTCCTCACTGCACCCCGAGAAAGAAATCTAGAGCACAGAGGCCTCTCTACACGCACGCAATTCGCGGTGCTGCACCACGAGACCACCAGGCCGGTCATCATCACCGTCTACCCAAATACTCACCAAGAAACCCTGGACGGCCGTGATGACGTAGGCGGGTGCGCGTCTACGTGAGGGGAGGGGCGGTATGGTGGAGAGTGGCCGGCGGCGTTTTTTTCTGGCGGGTCGAGTGAGCGTGGAGTGAGTGACCGAGAGCCGGAGCTGAACCGGGTGGATGAAACCTCGGACTTCAACTCTCTCTGTAGCAGATTGTGTGGGTCATTCGGAGTTGCACTGGCGGTCCGGTGTGAAGAGAAGTTCCTCTCGACATATAAGCCGGGCATGTAGGCTTGAAAAGATAAGTCTGCTTTCATGTTCTACTGACATAATTAAAACGAACAGAGTAACACTGCATTTGAGAGGGTGATAGAGAGAAGGGGGTTGAGAGTGGAAAATAGAAAACAGAAACTACTGTAAATATTGTAAATAATTTTTTTTATTTTTTTTTCTCTGCGAACTTTTAGGAGGGGGGGGGAAAGCTGAGGAGTGAAGCCTCAAAAAATTATCGAATAATCGAATTACAAATATTGTGGATAAGTTTTGTGGCTTGGCAGTCAAAAAAAAAAAAAAATGAAGAAATGAGAAGAAAAGAGTGGGAAAAAGGAGAAAAAGATTAAAAATAAAGAAAAAGAGTTTCCCAAAAAAAAGAGGGTAAGGTGAAGTTTGAGGAGAAAATAAAAGGATAAGAAATTGAGAAAAATAATAAGAAAGAAAAGGGAAGAGCAACAAGTATAGAAGACCTTTTATAGAAAATAAAATGGCAACCAGAAAGCCACAGGAGGAAAGAAAAAAAAGAGAAAAAAAAGACCCTATCACTGATAAAAGGTTATCAGGATATTTCTCCCCGCCTCCAAACAAATTCCAACTGAATTCTGAAACTCAGGATAACTCCCCTCCCCCCAAATCTAACTCTAATCCCTCTCATATTGCACAAGCAGGTAAACCTCTAACTGAAGAGATTTTAATTAATTACCTGGAGAAATTACAGAACAATATTAAAGAAGATATCCAAAAAGGATCATTAGATTTAAAATAAGAGATACGAGATATGAAAGTCCAATTGGAATCTATAGAATCTAAGATGATGCAAACAGACTTAAAAAATGTGCACATAGAGTCAGTAATGACAGACCTACAATCCAAGGTAGAATCACTGGAGGACAAATTAAATGATTTGGAAGATCGTTCCAGGAGAACCAATATAAGAATCCGTAATATTCCTGAACAAATTAACGATTCTTCACTGAAAAAATTTCTGATGGAATACTTTGAAACAATATTATCTCAAGCTGGTTTTCAAGATTCAGATTTAGAGAGATACCACAGGTTACCTAGACCTAGAAATGTGGCAGAATCATTACCAAGAGATGTAATTGTTAAATTTCAATCTTTTTATATTAAAAATCAAATAATGAGTTCTGTGAGAAATAATCCGGTCACAGAAGAGAGATTTAAGAACTTGAAGATTTTCCCTGACTTATCTTTCCATACAAGAGCATGGCGGAAAAGCTTTAGCCAGGAACTATCCATATTAAGAGCCAAAGAAGTGAAATATATATGGGGATTTCCTAAATGCCTTAGGATCTTCTGGAGAGAAAAAAATGAAAAATTTACTACTCTGGATTCTTTGAGAAAATGGATGGAAGAACAATCTATAGCGGGTGCTATATGATTCAGGAATAATAATCAAAAATTGAAGATGCTTCGTAGTTCGCAGCTGTCTGGATGAAAATGAACAATTAGAATTATATATAATTTTTTTTTTTTTTTTTTTCTCTCTCTCGGCTGGTTTGGTGCTAATAGATAGCTAACACGTAAAGGATGAAGATAGGCAAAAGGTTAAGAATAAGTGTTAATAATAAGTGAATGGTGGGTTTATTTCTACACATGTTAAGATGGAAGTTAAGTGTTAATATTCCAAAGGAGAAAATATGCAAATAGATTGAGTAAATTTATAAAATTAGATAGTCTTAATACAGTAAAGGGATGCAATTTTTACACACAGAATTAGAAATTGATAAAGTGTTAGGAGATTCTGGTAATTTAAATAAGAATCACGGAAAGAATCAACTATGGAAGGATGGATTATGTATACACAGTAGGAAGATAAAATATTCACGAAAATATATAAATAATTATCATAGGATTAAAACACATGGTAGGATTTGATATACTTAAGAGATAGATTTGTATATATTGTCACACAAACACACAATTGGTTGGGTGGTAATAGTAAGTTATATAAGAAGAATGGCAGATATTCTATAACCAATTGGATAGATCTTTTAAAATAATGGAACTACATAAATTGTTAGTGATTATATATTCATAACTATCAGGGAATCTAGGTTGTAAATAAGATTTTTCTTTTTTTCTTTTTTTTTTTTCTCTCCTCTGTGTATTATATGAGATAGTAGAGTTTCCTTAAATATAAGGAATAAGATTTTCAGTTACTCTTCTCATACCGCCCCACCAAGTGTCATCTCTTCTGTTGACACAAATTCCGTGATATGGTGAATCTAAACACCATCTCACGAGGACACAGATGGCCCTGGAGTGGTATGCCGAGAGGAAACCTTTCGGGAGCCAGGCTGTGTTGGGCCAGACTGGGTGTTTTTCCCATAAGGTTTTTGTGGGTCTATGTTCAATGGACCTTTTGTGTTGTATGTGAATGCATTGCAGCTCTCTTGGGGTCAGTGGAAACAATGAGTTTTGATTTAAAATGGTAAAGATGATTTCAGTTAATGTCCAAGGCCTTAATTCTTTAATCAAAAAATCTTTAATCTATGATTATATGTTAAGAAATAAAGTGGAAGTGGGCTTTTTTCAAGAGACTCACTGGTTGGATATGGATAGTCAGGGCTGGGGTGGTTCAAAATTCCCTATAATGATACATGCTTCTTTAAGTGGAGAAAAAAAAAGAGGAGTAGCAATAGTATTTTCCCACACATTAAAAGTGGATATAATTCATCAAATTAAAGATAAGGAAGGTAGATATGTTATAGTTTGTTGTAAATTGAATGAGATACCTTATACATTGACTAATATATATCTGCCCAATGACTTTCCTGCTCCAACCTTAAAAAAGGTCTTAACTTTAATGGAATCTGTCAAAATAGGTACATGTTTGGTGGCTGGGGACTTTAATAGTGTATTGGATCCGATATTAGATAAGAAGACATCTTCAATATTATTACATCAAAAAAGAACAGATAAATTGGCAAAATCTATTAAGAGAAATATGATTAATTTTGATTATTTTGATCTTTGGAGAACGACCAATCCTAATTCATTGGAATATACGTTTTTTTCACGGGTACATCTTTCGTATTCCTGAATAGATATGGTTTGGGGAAATATGACAGCATTGACGAATATTAAATATTTTAAGATACTTGATAATACTTGGTCAGACCATAGTATTAATATGTGGGAGATGAAGAATCAGTGGATCAGGATTGGTCGTGATACCTGGCGTATGGATGATAATTTGTTAAAATCTAAGATCAATCTTGATATATTGGAAAAACAAATAGTAACCTTTTTTCTTGAAAACGATCCAAATGATACCTCATATACAAATAACTGGTGTGCTTTCAAATCTACCATGAGAGGCAATATAATAAGTATTCAAACAAGATATAAAGTAGAAAATAATAGATCTTTTATGGTATTACAAACAGAACTGAAAAAGGCTGCAAGTAAGAACAAGCAGTTTCCCTCTAAAGAAAATGCAGACGAGCTAAAAAGTATCCAGAATAGAATTAATAATTTTCTTATAGCAAAGAATGTAAAAATTAGGAATAAACTCAAAGCTAATTACTACTATAAGGGAAATCGAGCAGATAGAATTATGACCAAAAAATTAAGAGATACAATTGGATCCAATAAAATAGTAAAGATAGAGGATGAAGACGGGGTATATCTGGACCCAAAAAAAATAGGGGAGAGATTTAATAAGTATTATGAGGCTTTGTATAATTTAACTCCCTCGATAACCAACGAGGAGGACTATCTGAGTAAAATTAATACTCCTAAGATTACAATAGAACAAACTAATAAGCTAAATACTTTAATTACAGCTCAGGAAGTAGAGGTAGTAATAAATAAATTAAAACCAGATAAGACGCCAGGCCCAGATGGTTTCGCAAATATATTTTATAAATCATTTAAAAAACTTATTGTCCCCCACCTAACAGACATGTTTAACGAAATTGTATCAGTTGGTAAATTCCCTACAGAAATGTTGAGTGCAAATATTCTTCCAATTCTTAAAGATAACAAAGATCCTCTAAAGGTAGAAAATTATAGACCTATCTCCTTAATCAATACAGATGTTAAAAAATTTTCTTCAGTTTTGGCCCATAGATTAAGAGGATTAATGGATAATATAATTAAAAATGACCAAATCGGTTTTGTACAAGGTAGAGATCCAGTAGATAACTCTAGAAGATTATTGGATCTGATAGATGTATCTAGAAGAAGTAACAAAACTTTATTTGTATTGGCGGTCGATGCCGAGAAAGCTTTCGACAGGGTCGGTTGGGATTTTTTAAGGAAAACACTGGAAAAATTCGGAATTCAGGGAAGGATGCTAAATGCTATTCTGGCATTATATGAAGGTCCTAAAGCAAGAACAGTGGCCCCAAACATATGCGCAGAGTGGTTTACACTTAAAAATGGTACGAGACAGGGTTGTCCTTTGTCGCCGATTTTATATATAATGACAATGGAGATCTTAGCCATTAAAATAAGAGATAACCCTCAAATTAAAGGATTCAAACTCAGAGAAAAATAATTTAAATTAAATCTATATGCAGATGATCTGATATTGACCCTAACCGACCCTGTCGAATCGCTTAAAGCACTGATGGCAGAAATAGACAAATATAGTCTGATCTCAAATTATAAAATAAATGTAATTAAATCCACTTTTTTAGCAATAAATATTTCCAGAGATTCTATTCAACAGATTAAAGATAAATATAAATGTAATTGTAATAAAAATTTGTTAACGTATTTGGGTATAATTCTCACTGATGATGTAAAAGATACGCTCCAAGTAAATTTTCTGAAAACATTTAGATCGACACATGAGTCTTTAAAGAGATGGAGACAAACTGAACTGTCTTGGTGGGGCAGAATTAATTTGGTTAATTTGTATTTACTACCTAAATGGTCTTATTTATTCCGTATGATCCCCTTGAGAATGCCACAACCATGGTTATCTATGATACAACGAGATATAAATAATTTTATATGGAAAGGAAAAAGGCCGAGGATGAATAAACAACTTTTGATTCAGAAGACTAGGAAAGGAGGGATACATTTTCCAAATGTTACTATAACTTATCTAGCAAATATGATGTTCCATATATATAAGACACAATTATTAAGTTCAGAGGAAGTTGGTTGGTACCAACTAGAATTGGAGATGACAGAAATGGAAAATTTACTTCATTTGATTTGGTTAACTAAACAAGATGAAAGAACCAAAAAGGTCTGTTCCTCCAATACATGTTTGAAATCTATATTAATGGAGTGGGAAAAGTTGAGGATTAATAGTGGTTTATGTAATAAAATATTGGGAAATTTTAACCTTAGTATTATCCAACTAAGGATGAAGGATCTAAATTTAGGAGAATGGACAAGGAAAGGTATTGACTCTATAAATCAAATAATAATGGGTGACAAAATTAAATCATTTGAAAATCTGATACAAGAATTCTCATTACCCTGGAAGGAGTGGTATAATTATTTAAGAATTGGAAGTTTTATCAAACAATATTTGCTATACCGACCTACAGTGGGCATAGAAAACCTGATAGTTTTATTAAAAAATGAGATCGTACCGCAAATAGTCTCAAAGGCAAGGATTGCTCTCCTCCAAATTGAAGCTCCAAATTTAAATGTAAATATCCAAAAATGGAGTAAAGAGTTAAATGTACAGATTCTTAAGTCTGAATGGGATCAAGTACTATATCAAACAAGTAAGATAATCCATTGTCTGAACCTTCTTGAAGTATTATTTAAATTAATGAACCGCTGGTATCTAGTCCCTACCAGACTAGCCAAAATGTATATCTCCAATTCTCCAATTTGTTGGAGATGTAACGAAAAAGAGGGGACCTTTGGACACATATGGTGGGAGTGCAGTAAGGTGAAAATCCTGTGGTATATGGCTTTCGATTCATTGGAGAATATCACAGAATTAAAAATCCCTAGGGGTCATCATAATGGTTTATTTCACTTAAATTTGCAATCACTCCTTTTCAAGGATAAATTTATATACGTCCATTTTGTAGCAGCAACAAAAATAATCATTGCAAGGAATTGGAAGAGTAGTGCAAATTTTACACAAGCCCAATTATATTCTCAAGTCCAATATCAATTAAATATGGAGGCCCTCGGACATCAGTCAATTAAAATTAGAGACGTCAGTAATTTTTGGAAAGAAAAAGTGGAGAGTATGGCCAGATAAAATTCTGGATAAAATTAAAGTAATTAGATCAGTTTCTCCCTTTTTCCTACATCTTTATCTGTTTAGTATATTAAGGTTGTGAAATAGAGGTGCCACTGAAATACCCCAAGAAGAGTTTGCAATGCATAAAAATAAATGTTTGTCTTTTATGTTTGTTTTGTATATCATATTAATGAAGTTTGGAATGCCATCTACCTAATTTAAGTAATAATTAATCGTGAATTAAGTTGCCTTATTCGATAGATAAAAGGAACTTTAATATTAGAGGGATGCTGGATAAAAATTTTTTAGACATGTAGATTGATTTTTCTTCTTTCTTCTTTCCCAATATGGCATTTGGTCTAGATCTAGAAAATAATTTAGTAGAATAATGAAAAGGGGAAAAAGCTCTAATATCACAAAGGCTATTATGTGTGCAATAGTATTGAGTATACATATAATTTTACAATTTTTATCTAATTGGTGGTAGATGGCAATACTTTTTATGTTTTCTATATCATTAAGGTTGATGGTAATGTCTTGTATGGTTATATAAGAAAAATGAAATAAACAAATTATTAAAAAAAAAAAAAAAAGAAACCCTGGAAAACCGCCACGGTGCAACAGGCACAAGAAGCCTCCACCTCACCCCAATGGCCCTCTCATGGGTAGTGGACTGCTCCAAAATCGACCATCCGATACCACACACTATACCACAACGCAACCCATCTGCTCCAGTGGCCTGTTACCCTATCCGCTGCTGGCACTTACGACAGGTGCACTCAAGACTTTTTTAAGGGACAGTCTCCCCATGTGTGGAAGCATCTACTTACCTGCGTGAGTACCTGGTCCGGGGAGTGAGACCCTGGCGGGGATGCTGAGGAGGGCAGAAACAGGACCTACCTGACACAAATACGCTGATAGGCCCACACCCCATGCCTGCTGCTTGGCTGCTACACCCACGGCCGTACTCAGCATTGTTGTGGCGTACTGAAGCTGTATGTTCATTTTGTGCACAACAAAAATAAAGAATATAAAAAAAAAGTTGATCTTTTCTCTAAGAACTCATAGTTTGTTACTATTTAATTTTACACAAATTTCTATATGTTCAGACTTTCCAGCGTCATTATATTAAGGACATACAGTGCATATGACATATCTTTGTTTGTTGTAAGGGACTTAGTTGTAGTCATTTCATTACGGTCACATTTGTTTCATCATTTTAATTCTTAACTCGATCACTAAATTTTACCCCTAATGTCTAATCCTAGCTCTAATGCCTAACGTCACCAACTTAATGACGGAGCAAAGGCTAGAGATTAACCTTAATCGGCAGCCTCAATGCATGGACATCTAATGTGAACTTTGCATATTATAAATGGTTTTGTTGTGTGTTAAAAGATGAGGATGAAGGATGAGGATGGGAGCACTTTCAGACAAAAAAAGAAAACTAGTGAACCTTCATTGTGTAATCTGATGACATAAAACTCTGCAGTCAGCAAAGAATTTTAAAACAATTGTATTTTAGAAATAGCTAAATGAAACACAGCTGAGGCCCAGGGGCTAAAGTGGAAAGTCGAACATCTCCAGTGAGACAAAAAGACCTACGGGGTTCATTTATTAAAGTGAGAATTGTTCAAAATGAATTTCAAATGTAAGGCCAGAGTAGCCAATCTGAAAGCACAGCTGACTTAGGGTTTTTTCCAGTTTAGCTATTTTGACCTTAAATTTTAGATTTACTTATAATTCTCACTTTGGTAAAGGGCATTGATAAAATAATAGAAGTTTACATACTTTACTTTGTAGGACTGTTCATAATAACTGTGAATCTGCAAAAAAAAACAGATTGCCCTGGAAGAGAAGAAAATAAGATTTAAGGGGGCAATCTAAGCACCATAAACACTAAAATTCACTGAAGTAGTTATGGTGTAATGCTCACGTCAGACTTTTCGTTTGCAGTTGAACAGAAAGTGGGTCTCTACTGCTCTGCTAATATGAAAGTGTATTTCCTTATTAGCTCATCCGACATTGGTTTGAGAGTACTAGAGTCAAACTTGGAACGTGTAGGTAAAGTGCTGGGCAGTAGACGTTGGCCGAGCTTGAAAAAGGTTTCACAGAATCTACGGGATGGTTGGCATCCGTGGACTCTTTACAGCTCCGCAACAATGAGGTGATGGTGCTTAGAGTGCCTTTTTAACTTATGGTAAAAAAATTATATTTACATTGCATTTTAAAGCTTAGGAAGGCACTTGAGATTTAATTGATAGACTATTTGCCAATAAGTACATAGTTTGTCTCATACATGGTTATTTACTAACGTGAAAATTCAAATAGAATTTCAGATTTGAAGGAACACTAAAGGGTCAGGAACACAAACATGTATTCCTGACCCTATAGTGTTAAAACCACCATCTAGCCCCCCTTGATCCATCTTGCCTCCCTAAATATAGTAAAATCTTACTTGTAATCAAGCCTGAAGCTGCTGTTTCTGCCCCTGTCTGCCTCAGACCTGCAAGCTGTCTGCTGATATCATCCGAAATGGTGGTCTGAGCCAATCTCATTGCTTCCCCATAGGATTGGCTGAGACTGTGAAGGAGGCAGATCAGGGGCAGAGCCAGCACAAGTCAAACACAACCCTGGCCAATCAGCATCTCCTCAAATAGATGCATTGAATCAATGAATCTCTATGAGGAAAGTTCAGTGTCTGCATTCAGAGGGAGGAGATACTGAATGTTTGGATGCATTTTAGGCAGCCATGACCCAGGAAGCATCTCTAACAGCCATCTGAGGAGTGGTCAGTGGAGTTATCACTAGGCTGTAATGTAAACACTACATTTTCTCTGGAAAGACAGTGTTTACAGCAAAAAGCCCGAAGGTAATGATTCTACTCACCAGAACAAATTCAATAAGCTGTAGTTGTTCTGGTGACTATGCCAAAGTAGCCGACCCAAAAGCCTAGATTAGTTTTTCCAGTTTGGCTATTTTGACCTTAAATTTGAAATTTACTTTGAAATCACCTTGAATTATCATTTTAGGGAATAACCCTATAAATTAAATAATCAGCCTGAAAACTCCTTTGGGAAATGCTGGAAAGTCATTCCTGAATATTCTGCCTCTTTGTCTCACACAGTAGGTCAGTGATGCCTAAACTTGACACCATAAATTGTTTCTGGACTAGATTTCCCATGATGCTCAGCTAGCTTTTAGACTCTAAAAGCTAGCTGAGCACCATGGGAAATCTAGTCCAGAAACAATTTATGGTGTCAAGGTCAGCCATCACTTCAGTAGGTTATCGGCAGAGTCCACAGAGTTGTATGTCTGCGAGAACTTTATGCATGTTCCTCTTACTCTGAATGCTACCAATATAAGGTGCAGTAGATTTACGTGGGATGGTATTTTTAGCTCTTGAAGTTTTAGCAGGACTTCAAATTGAAAAAACAAACAAAAAACAATGAAGCTTTTAAAACGTATTTTTTACTTTTCTCCCCCTTTCTCGTTATAATGCTTTTTTACAAAGTTACCAAATTCAGTTTGAAATAGTAGCCTGCAGGACTTATTTGTTGTGTTCACGCTTATAAACTTGTACTTCCATTAGTATTAACGATCCGCAGCCTTTCCTGAAACAAATGGAAAATAGAAGTTCACCTAATGAACATCTTGAAAAAAAAAAAGAAGACGCTCCTATTTTCTTTCCGCTGATGAACCAACTAGCATCTGTTTTATTATTTCTGTGTTCCTGGCTTCATTATGGAACATTTTGTAAATGTTTTATGCTGAAATTCCCTATTTAAGTAAGGAAAATGCATTGTTTTCATATGTGTTTTTTTTTGTTTTTCATTAAACTTGTGACAGCCTCTAGAGAGTTGCTTCCGTATTGTTCAATATTGTATATTGTTTCTTTCAATATTAGAATGAAACAGATAATTAGATCTACGTTAAGAGTATTCTGCTCTTGGTAGCGAAACAATTGTTAAAGGGACACTAAAGGCACCCAGATAACTTCATATCATTGGAGTGAAGTTCCCCTTTCTGGATGCAGTGCCCCTGTCCCCTTAGTCCTCCAATGCAAAACATTACCGTTTCAGAGGCTATCTGGTCAGCAGCCACTAGAGGGGCTTCCTTCTGTTTCACATAGTTTAACTCTTTGAAACAGCACTGGATGTCCTTACAATTTGCATGACGATATTAAGTCCCCCCATCGTACATTGGTGGAGGGGCCTGACCAAACACCAAGGGACGTCAACACTAGAATCTAGTAAGTGTTTAGAGGGTTATTTAACCCTTTCATGGCATCGAACCAGGGTGGCCATGGAGGCAGAGGGACACTTCACTGCTATAAATGCAATTTTGCTTTCCTTACATTATATTGTTCCTTCAATATCAATTCCATAAGTGAATGGTATGAGTACAATGAAACCGATTCTTTTAACTCTGAAATCCTTAATTAAAACACTTATTCCAGTGCCAATCCTGGGGCTATAGGATCAAGAATAAATTTATTCTGAAAGCAGTTTTCTGATCAGAGTGGGAAACAAAAGCATTAGTCCTTGGCCATACACTATATAGCGCAGAGTATGTGGAACACTTTACCTCGAACATCTCATCCCAAGGACATTAAAGGAACTTGAAGCATCATACTTACTAGAGCACACTGAGGTAGTTATGGTGGCAAGTGTGCCCTGGCAGCCCCAATTGTAAGTAGTAATACCATTTTAAAATTGTTTGACTTCTTATCTGCCAGGTGCCACACCATCTCTCCACTACTTCAGACATAAAGCAGGCACCTCTGTCTGAGGCTAAGCCCATTGGTGCAGGTCTTATCTCATTGGCTGAAAGTGATAAAATGATCCTCTCAGGCAATGAACCTGCTCTGCCATGCAGGGCTTAGCTCAGGAGAGCTAATGGAAGCTTGCAGCTCTTGAAAGTAATGTAGGCGGTCAGCAGGCCTGGTAGAGCCTAGGTAAGAAGTAAAAGTGTTCTAAAATGGTTTTACTACTTAAAACTGTGTAGGGGAGGGTGTCAGGGCACACTGTAGTGGTTATTGTGCATGGAGTGTTTCTTTAAGATGGAATCTGACACCCCATTTGCTGCTATAACAGCCACTTGCTTTTGTGGGATGCTTTTCCTTTAGAAATTGGCATATAATGTTATATTTTTTCACAAGTGCATAACAGAGGTTGATAACAGATTTGGGGCGAATAGTTCTGCCTGGCAGTAGGCCTTATTATTTATCCCAAAGGTTTTAAGAGGAACCCCCAGGTCAAAGGACTGACTCATCATGTTCTTCCCCATCAGCCGTGAAAAATCATATCTGAGAAGATCTTGTTTTGTGCTCTTGGCATTGCCATACTTAAATGAAAAACTGCTTTTCCCACATTGCCATTAACATGGAAATCCCCATCTAGGAAAAGGCCCCTCGAGAGTGCAGGTTTATGTTGTATCACATATCATAAAATGTAACCTCACTGGAGCTAAAAAGCCTAAGCAGAACCATGAAAGGCATCCCCAGGCTATAACTGTTTTCTCTCTAGGTTGTGTATATGTATGTATGCATTTATATGCGTGGGGTGTTCTGATGAGATACTTAGCATTGTACCACTGTGTATAGAATATTGTGATATTTAAACTGTACAAATTCCTGTTGTTCTTTGTGAGTGCATGCATATGGCACTTGAATCCTTTTTATGTGTTTTGTTTGGCACATAAAACAATGCAAGATTTTAGCATGGATTTTAAAAGAATGTTTGTGCACAGTAAAAACGAGGTAGAACACATTAACTTTGCTTATTCTCCTCGTTCTGTAAGGGTTAAACATGTCTCAGTTAATGAGTATAAAAAATAAAATAAAAAATCACAAAACAATACATATGTATCAGTATTCTTTAATAAATTAATACATTTATTCATATGTTAATTTTTTGCTGACAATATTTACTATTTATCATTATCTCAAGTGTTTGAGACATAACCAGACGAGTGTTTGAGACTGTGTTAGATGACAGAACCAATGTGTTTTTGTTTGTTCGTTTAGTTTGTTCACAAAACAGTGAATGAACTGAAGTAAATTGAAAGCCTAGCTAAAAATTCAGTTTAAAATAGCTAAACTGTAAATATAGCTATACATTGGGGTATATTGGCCAGCTCAGTTATCTTGGCTTGCCTTTTCGATTTTTAGACTTATTACAATTTACAGTTCAGTGAACCCCATCTGTCATATTCTGTGCAGCATTGTAATTCCATAACTCCCAACATTTTAAATGGGCAAAGGGGTGTAAGTGGGTGCGTGGCCATGGGTCCTGTTGTTCTGAGAAATTTTAGGTAACTTACTAATTGCAATTTATGCAACTAAAAATAATTGAGAAGAACATTGTATTTTATTTACACAGACTGATTTCTAAACATATTTATTGCAGTTTAAAGACACATAAATGTTGGTATTATTGCTGTGAAGCTCTGTTATACACTCAATACACCAACAATATTTATTTCCTAGAAAGGAATGACAGATGGATTTAGGTCCAAGATAGGGACTGTCCCTCCTACGTAGGGACAATTGAGAGTTATACAATTCTATTAAAGGACCACTATAGTGCCAGGAAAACATGTTAGTTTTCCTGGCACTATAGTGCCCTGAGGGTGCCCCAACCCTCAGGGACCCCCTCCCGCCCGGCTCTGGAAAGGGGAAAAGGGGCAAAACATACCTTTTTCCAGAGCTGGGCGGGGAGCTATCTGCCTCCGATCCTCCTCCGTTCCTCCCCGTCGGCTGAATGCGCACGCGCGCCAAGAGCTGCGCGCATTCAGCCGGTCGCATAGGAAAGCATTACCAATGCTTTCCTATGGACGCTTGCGTGCTCTCACTGTGATTTTCACAGTGAGAATCACGCAAGCGCCTCTAGCAGCTGTCAATGAGACAGCCACTAGAGGATTTGGGGGAAGGCTTAACCCATTCATAAACATAGCAGTTTCTCTGAAACTGCTATGTTTATAAAAAAATGGGTTAACCCTAGCTGGACCTGGCACCCAGACCACTTCATTAAGCTGAAGTGGTTTGGGTGCCTAGAGTAGTCCTTTAATGGTTTAAAGCGGCAGAGAAATCTGGCAATTATAGAAGAAGTAAAAACCCAAAAATAAAATGTTACCTGCGCTCTCTCCTTAACCCCTTAAGGACACATGACGTGTGACATGTCATGATTCCCTTTTATTCCAGAAGTTTGGTCCTTAAGGGGTTATTCCCTATGTATATATAAACAAATGGAGGTCACTTAGTTACTCCAATGGCCATTGGAGGGAATGCCCGCCTGTCAATGTCAAGGCAGACCCCCCTAGACGGGTCCTACACTAACCCTTCACCTTGCTTCCTTGAGCCTCTGTCAAAGATATCTCTAATGAGACTGAGAGGGGTATTTTTTATATACACCCCTATATACTTATTAACCCTTAATAGGGAACAAATGGGATGGGCAGCAGCATTGCAACCTAGCTGTGTGGTACAAAAAGTGAATACAAATGCAAAAAGATAAGTCCTGCGCTCACTCCCATCACTCCTGGGCGGCAGCAATTATAGAAGAAGACCTTGAAACTGGAGCTTGAGATTACTTGCTAATTTGCATCATTTCCCTTTTCCGTATTAAATATTAAAAAATATGTTATTTATACAACACAGCACAATGTAATGTATTATACGAGCCCCTAATATAATCTCAAAAGGGCCATCATTATTATTTATAGAGGCCCTTCACTCATATAAATATGGTGTATTGCCTTTGAGAGAGCAAGAATTTCTGAGCTATTGAAACTATTTAAATATAATTTAGAATAGGATGTGCAGGCAAGAAATGAATGCATTTCAGAAGTGTTGTCGTCTTTATTTCACATTTTCCATACAAGCCCCAGGGTTCAGAAAGACAGATAAGTTAACAGAGTCTTGTCTGTAATTACCTGCAATAGGTTTCACTGAGATATTTGTTATCCAAGGTAATTATCATTAGAGGACACGGGAGAACTTCCATTGCCCATGCATTGTTTAACAATGCATTGAATTGGAATAAAAGAAAATACCAGACCAATGTAGTTGTTTGAATAGCTGCCAAGTGTGCACTTATTAGACAATGAGACAGGCTGGGCAATGATGAAGCCTGGATATTTGTGAAAGTAGATAGACAGTCTGCAGTACCTTTCATGCCCTGGGCTTAAACTTCAATATTAAAGTTAGTTTAAGACATTAAAGGACAGATCATAATACAATGTAATTACTTTTGTAATTTGTGTGGCTCATTATCCACAACTGTACAAGTTAAAAGTAAAAAAAAAAGAGAAAGTAGATCAAATTCGGAACTCTGACTGCAATAAGTAAAAAATCTCTTCATATTGATGAACCCCAACAGGTTCAAAAAAGCTGACTCAGTGAATTGTATTGTTTATCCTATGCTTTCTGTACTAGTTAATTTTGGCAATTAACCCCTTTTACTAAGGGCAAACATGAATCCCAGGGAATGCAGCCATACCCTGAAATTGTGTACACACAATTTTTAATATTGCAAATAAAATGAATTTTTTGCAAACGTTTCTTTTTTGCAATTTTTCCCTTTTGGGGTCCCAGAGTCAGTGCTAACGTTAGAGTAGTTTTTGGAAATGCCCCACAGCTGACACACACAAATTCACTGACTATATGCAGAGTGACACACACACACTCACTCAAGGAGACACATGCTGACGCATGCAGGCTGACTCACACAAACATGCCCAAGAAGACACACTCACTAACTGATGAAGACTGATAAAGACTGTTTAAGACTGATAAAGACTGATGCACACACACACATACATACACCATACACACTGACTCATGTAAACTGACACACATACACACTTACTCAAGCAGACACACACACTGACCCAAGCACTCACACACACTGACCCAAGCAGAAACACAAACTGACCCAAGCACACACACAAACTGACCCAAGCAGACAGAAACATCCTGACTCAAACAGGCTGACACACATTCTTTAAAACACACACTTCAAGCACCCCATTTTGCCTTTGTTTTATGTATCAGTTTGCTGTGTCTGTGTGATCCAGGCATCGTGACTGCACCTGGCTGCCTCACTCTCTGTCTTAGCCCTGCTCCCGTTTCCTGCCCACTTGACTCCAAGTACAGGGCAAGGGAAGGGAACGATCAAATGATACGTCCTTGTACTGCTGCTGTGTTAGATGTGTGCAAGGGCTGAGGGCTATACGTGAACTTTGTGAGCTGAGGTGGATGCCACTGGGCACTGGTCTGCAGCTATGTAAGTGCTCCCTAGCGCAGGGAGACATGACCTGCTGCATATACTACATAATTAGTCCCATATAGAGGGGCAGCCCAAATGAACAGTAAAGCCACTGCCGGCGTCCAGAGTCGGACTGGTAAATAAAAGCAGCTCTGGAAAAATGTTATACTAGTCCAATAATAAGTCGCGCCAGTATAGTGTGCTGATATAGAGGTGAAAAAGATAACTTAAAATTGAAAACTATTAATGCAACAAAAGAAAGAACTCATAGGGCTTCAAAATAAACAAAAGAGCGGCTTTATTTTAAGCAGATGTGCATTTGCATATAAATTAATGTTTCAATCCAACTACCTTCACATATTAAGGAAAGTTTGGTAATGGGAATGAAATGGTGAATGTGCTTGAAAGTAAGACTTAGTGCCAGCAATGTCTAGAAAGACTGAGTACAGGGACATAGATTCAGAGAAAAGGTACCATACGTGTCTGGCATGTGCCTTGGGTGATCATGACTGGCCTGATCAACCATGAAGATTGCTTAGTGTGCATGACATATACATGCATTGATAAGAAACTTGGTGGAAAAGTACAGACTATCCATCTCATTGGTAAAAAAGTATAAAAGACAGTTGATTTTGGCACTCACTTGGAGAACTACCCACCTGTAATACGGTTGTGTGTTGCTGGTCTTTGCTGTTCCCAGTAGAGAGGGTCCTTCCAAGTTTGACTGCCTGAGTTCCCTCAGTAGTGCAGCGGAGTGACATCCAAGCTTCTCTAATGGTGATGTATACTTCAGTTGATATCTAGATAATTAAGCTGTTCCCTTAAGCTGAATGCGCACTATAGATTGAATATTGTTACGTATTAATCAAGTCTCTGTTAGTCAATAAAGTTTTTATTGATTTTTTACAAGTACTTGGTGAGTGTCTTTCTCATTCTCAAATACTCAGTTCACTCCGAATAGGGTTTTGGTGCCCCACAATATCTTTGAAGACCTTAGGGTAATTGATTATTGCTTTTTTATATTGGTGCTTCATGAATTTAATGATTGGGCAAAACACCATCACACACATACACAGCACCCCTCACACACACACACACACACACACACACACACACAGCACGCCTCTCACACACAGCACCCCTCTCACACACATAGCACCCTCTCACACACAGCACAGTAGTCTGTGTGTATGTATTCAGTATTCCGTCTGTATGCATTCAGCAGCCTGTTTGTATTCTGTAGTCCATGTGTGTGTATTCAGCAGTCCGTGTATGTGTATTCAGCAGTCCGTGTGTATTCAGCAGCCTGTGTGTGTATTCAGCAGTCTGTGTGTGTGTATTCAGCAGTCCGTGTCTGTGTATTCAGCAGTCCGTGTGTGTGTATTTAGCAGTCTGTGTGTATTCAGCAGTCCGTGTGTATTCAGCAGTCCATATGTGTGTATTCAGGAGCCTGTGTGTGTGTATGCAGCAGCATGTGTGTGTATTCAGCAGCATGTGTGTGTATTCTGCATTCTGTGTGTGTGTATTCAGCAGTCTGTGTGTGTATATTCAGCATTCCATGTGTGTATTCAGCAGTCTTTGTGTGTATATTTGAGTGCCATGCATGACACACATGCCACAGGTTGCTAACCCCTTTGGTAACTTTGCACATCAGGTATTATTACTACTAGACTTTCTTTGTTGGAAGAGAGGACATGGGGGGCTAGGGGAGAGAGAGACAGATAGAGGGGTGCTAGAGGAGACACATGGGGCAAGGGGAGAGAGACACTTGGAGGGGCTGGGGGGCTAAGAGAGAGAGACACATGGAGGGGCTGGGGGACTAGGGGAAAGAGACACATGGGGGCTAGAGGAGAGATACATAGAAACGGACTAGGGGAGAGAGACACATGGGGAGGCTGGGGGGCTAAGGGAGGGGCTTGGGGGCTTAGGGAGTTATAGAAACATGGAGGGACTGGTCGAGGCTAAGGATGGAAAATCATGGAGGGGCTGGGGTCCGAAGGGAGGCTAGGGGGGCTAGGGGAGATGGAGGGGCTAGTGGAGAGAGACAAGTGGAGGGGCTGATGGGCTAAGGGAAAGAGACAAGTGGAGGGATGTGAAGGCTAATGGAAAGAGACACATGGAGGGTCTGGGGGCTAAGGGAGAGAGACACATGGAGGGGCTGGGGGGCTATGGGAGAGAGACCCATGGATGGGCTGGAGGGCTAGGGGGAGAGAGACACATTGATTGGCTAGGGGGGCTAGGGGAGAGAGAGAGACACATGGATAGGCTGGGGGCTAGGGGACAGGGACACATGGGAACTAAGGATTGAGACACATGGAGGAGCTGGAGGTATTGAATGAGACACATGGAGGGGCTGAGGAATAGGGAATGAGACATGGAGGGGCTGAGAGGATGTAATGAGACACATGGAGGGGCTGAGAGGAGGTAATGAGACACATGGAGGGGCTGGGGGGAGGGAATGAGGAACGTGGAGGCGCTGGGGGGAGGAATGAGACACATGGGGGGTCCCAGGGCAATTTTCGCAAAGGGGCTCATTGGTTTCTAGTTATGCCTTTGCTAAAAGGAATGCGTCCAAAGTATAATGACATGCCTGATAGACAAAAATTATAAAGGTCCCCAAGTGGTTTCAGTGTTACTCCATTCCCAAGGTGTATATTTGGAATGCACTTCCCATACAATGTAATAATTGAAAACAAATAATACATTTTAAAAACATTGACGTTCTTCCAACACAAACCGGTTTGTTTACTGAAGTGAGAATTCAAAGTGAATTTCAAAATTAAGGATTGGCCTGGATAATCTGGTCTTAAATTTGAAATTCACTATGATTTCTGACTTCAGTAATTAAACCTGTTTGTGTTAGAAATAAATAACCCCCTAAATATTTCCACATAGTTCTAGAATAGTTTGCTTTTGTGTTCATTTACCAGCACTACAGCAGACATAAACGTGCTTTATTTACCTATCTTTAAATGAAAAAGAACAAATAACGATTCGGGGATTTCATACCAAATTACTAAACTAATTCAGTTTAATTCCTGCTACATAAGTGCCACTCATGTATGAACTTTTCATGAACCTGCAGGATAACAGTTCCCTTGCTAAACCAAGCACTATCTAATATCATTGCGCACTTGTGAATTGTAATATTAAACATTACCTAAATAAATAAAACACATTCTTAAAGCTTGCATAGATAAAAAGACCTCTGCGCTAATTGTATTGAGTAGGCACACTTGCGGAGTTCCCGAATTAGATTTACAGCAAGATGTTGAACTTGTAGCTCTAGCAACATTTGAATATTGAGAGTAGAAAGAAAACCGTAGGGTAAAGAGTTAATATTTTATATAAACAGATGCTGCCTGGAACTTAATAACATATACGGTATTAAAATTATACAAATGTTTAAACGTTGATATTACTAGGAATATAAATTGCAATAATGTTGTTTTAACAGTAACTATCACAGTTTGAATATAGTAATATCCCCATATTTATGGATGGTTGCACAATGTCCCACTGGGGCAGTTAATTTTTCTGGCCATAGTGCCAATTCTAGTAGGGATCGATACTGGGGTCATGTGGAATCCTAAAAGTTATATGTACTGTAGTTTTGGGAAGGGAGTGGTCTGGCTTTTGTCAGCCAGCAATAATGTAAATTTGTTTGTTATTTGGTGTAACGCAAAATGAGCTCTCCTCAAACTTGAGCTGAACTTTATTTTTCACTCTGTAAAAGAGACCACATTTGGTTCTTTCAATGAGAGCTACACAATTAATTGCATTAATGAACACACATGTTGATATTAATAGCTTGTGTGCAGGGTCAATCCTAGGGTCACAGACGCCTGGGTGCAGAAATTTATTTGGCACCCCCATGTGGGTGTGGTCATTTGACTAACTTTTCCCCTTTGCAAATGTCTAAGACGACACAAGACAGACGCACACCGACAGACACAATCTCAATGACAGACTCACAATCTGGTTTGAAACACACTCATTGACAGACACACACAATAACTGACAGTCACACACTTCTACTGAGAAAGACATACTGACAGATGTACACTGGCAGACACACGCTCAATGACAAACACACAATCTGACTGAGAAAGACACACTGACAGATGAACACTGGCAGACACACGCTCAATGACAAACACAATCTCACTGAGAAAGACACACTGACAGACGAACACTGGCAGACACACGCTCAATGACAAACACACAATCTCACTGGTTTGAAACACACTCACAGACACACTCACTGACAGACATACTCAAAGACACACCTTTGCTGCAATCTCCAGTGGTTGCAGTGATTCTAAAAGGTAGTGGTGTTTTTTCTTAGTGGGATTGCTGTGCATATATACTTTTGGATAGGGCACAACAGCTGTATAGCTTGAGGATACCTGACAGAAAGATTACTTTAACATGAGTGAGTAGCTTTATACACTGTCACTGACAGCCAAACACACACAGACAGACACTTACTGACAGACACACACACTCACTGACAGAAACACACATTCACTGGCAGACACACACTCATTGACAGACACACTAGCTGACAGACACACACTCACTGACAGACACTCATTGACTGACACAAACACACACACTTAATGACAGACATACTCACACACTTACTGACAGGCACACCTACACATTCTTGCACAATCCCACAACCTACATTTATTGTCGGAAGCCCATTCAGTCTCCCTACCTCTCTTTGAGGTCCAGTGTGGGGCTGTAATCTTGCAGATCCTAACTCCTCTCGCATGCTGTTTAGTATGTCAGGGCCGGAATGACATCATATTCTGATTCCCAGCATTACAGGGCATTTGAGGAAGGATTGAGGACTGCAAGATTAGCTTCCCACGCCGCAGGCTGCCTGCCTCCTCTCCTCCCTCCTCTCCTCCCTCCTAGCATACATCGGCAGAGTTGTCACCTGCCATCCATGTAAGCAGTGTTTGTCTGTCACCTACTCTGCCTTACTAAATAATCGCCGCAACCGGGCTGCCCTAAGATGGCCACCTACTGGGCCCCTTGTACAGGGCTGCTATTGGCATCCCCCACCTTTGGGCGTCTGGGCGCAGTGCACTGATTTAGATGCTCCATTTAGAAGTGGAGAGTCTGAAACTAAATCATAATTCTAAAAATGATACATACATAAAATCAGTAAGGAAATGGGATTCTGTATTTTAAGCACTCTGAAGAGAATTTCTGGTCCCATTAGCCTAATGCTATTTACAAAGCCAAATCCTTTGTATCAGTATATTCTCTATCGGAAAACTATATTCATTTTGCAAAGTTTTAAAACAGACATTTTAGGTGGTTTTTTTCATATTTTTTGCAAGCTGTTATGCATCCCTGTAGGAATATTTGATTTCATACAATTGTTTTTCTATCTTAAACCCTGGCATGTTAGCAATAAATTATGCTGATTTTTCAGTTAACAAAAGCATCTGTTTTGTATTATGAAGAAGGCCAAACCTAGAAAGACATCAAAACTAATTAATACTTATCTTGTTCTTAAGCTAGATATGTTTCTCATGGAGAATGACCTTTCCCTGAAGTCATATTGTCTTTGCATTGGTTAGGTTTAATCTTAGCTCCCTTGAGGTCTTCTGCAAACACAAATGGTAAGACTAGATTACTGCATTATGAAGAAATGTTGCAAAAACTATGCAATGATGATAAAAGTTTTTTTTTAAACGCACTAAAACAATTAACTTGGGGCCATTGTTTCAAAAGCAGTGAGTTTGCAACTTATCTGAGAATTTTGAAGCAATCACTGAGCAACCCTGTGTGTATGTCTGTCTGGTAGTTTGAATCCTGGTATGTGTGTATTTGTGAGTATATCTGGAATGTATATGCGTGTTCAAGTGGTATCTGTGTGCCAGGGTGGGAGCCCCTAGAATGTTGGTGGTATCTATGTTGGTTGGTAGGAGCCCCTAGAATAAGCCCCTAGACTAACAAGCTAAGTTCTGTTCAATGTATAGAGGGTAGTTGACAAGATTAGACTTTATACCTTATTCCCTGCCCCCTATCCACCCTCCCCCCCACACACACACACACTTCTGAATTGCCGAGTAACAGCGGTAAAGTCCAAACTAATCCTCCTTCCCCTCCATTTTACTACTCTCTCTATACATTAAGATCAGGTGTAACTATCTGATTGAATAAAAAATAAAAGCACACCCTGTTAAAGAGCAAAATATAACCTGTGATATGCAATAAGACTTTTGAGGTCACTGAACAACCTGTGTCTCTGTCAATTCATGGTGGCCTCCCCAGTGCCTGAAAAAGATTGTAGGACAAACCAGAGATTGCTAACTTAAATAGAAGTACATGGCAAAGAAGTGGTAAATTGTTTAAAGAGATCTAAATTCTGTTCTAACAGTTTCTAATATCCCAAAGTGTTCTGATTGTACCCCTGCACAAGGATCAGGGATTTTGCATCTTAACTGTACATAAGTCTCTGTGAAAGCTCAGTGTGCCGGCAATTGCTAAACCTATTACAACCATAATTAACGAATCCTTGGTGTCTGGATACATACCCAAACTTTGGAAGACTGCAAGAATAGTGCCTATCCATAAAAGTGGTGACACTACTTTGGTTTCTAACTATTGCCCAATATCATTGCTTCCAGTATTGTAAAAAATCTTAGAAAAATGTGTCCATACACAACTATGTGAGTATTACCAACAATCAAACTGTCATGCGGTAACACTTCCGGGTTCGGCACTCCGCTGTGCGGAGCTGGACCCCGCCCCCCTCTGACGCGGCTCTGACGGTATTTAGGGAGACCGCGCCATCGAGAGGGTGTTTGGTGATTGTGTGCGAGCTAATGTGTGAGCTGCCTCCGCGGGACCGCGGGCTCCACAGGCTCAGCTACTGGGAACTACTTCCGCCAGACTTAGGTTCTCCACAGGGTCTGGCAATGTGAGTCCAACTTCCGAGTGTACATGCCGGCTCCTGGAAGACGCCGGCTCTCAAGCTCTGATTTTATCTTAGCCATCGGGCTAAGACAAGTAAGCTCACGTTAAAGAGGATTGCTGGAGAACGGAAACTCACTTTACAAGTGGACATTATCTCTTTACTATTGGACAACTAACCTTAAGTATACCTCTCATCTAATTATCTACAATCTCATATAATAACGAAACAAGTCTTGCTTTCTGAAATCTTCTCTACTACAAGCTACTAATTATTTAAAAGACAACTCTCATCATGCTCATTTACTATGCTTATTCATTATGAACTGTTTCTTGCTTTGCAATTACACTCACTGCTTCAAGTTACTAATTATTTGGAAGACAACTTCCATTATGCCTATTAGCTATGAACTGATCTTGCTTTGCAACTATTCTCAGCTACTTGCTTAATATTACTATTGAAGATTATTCACATTAACTAAAGAATGTTACTTGATGCATCTCTGAGGAAATACTTAATAATGAACTTTGTGTTGTTTATTACTTGCACTTCTTCTTATTGGATTATTGCCTAAATGCAATCATTTAAGTTTAACACTTATTAAAACTTCGTTTGAATCAATTTACCAGCGATTCCCTCTTTTCTTAAAGCTACAGTATTGATACTTTAAAGTTTCTCCGTATCTACTCTCATGTAATTAGGGAGGTTTAAAAGCTGCAGTTGAGTTCCAAGCCAAATCACCCAAGTAGCGTAACACAAACTATCTGACCCCTGATCAATCGGGTTTTTGACAGAATCACTCCACTACAACTGCTCTCTTAAAAGTTTGCAATGACATCCAAACTGACATGGAACAAGGAGACCTAACTGGAGCTATTGTCCTTTTTTTTTTGCAAAGGCCTTTGACACAGTAGACCACAACATTCTACTGCACAAACTCAAAAACTCAGGTAAAAACCTTGTTTCGATCATATGCATTGGATCGTTTGCATGTGTCCATTTCTGACAGCGATTCCCTCTCCCAGTCACGTGTGGTGTTCCATTCTTGGCCCCCTGCTATTTACAGGAGAGATAGGTAGCAAGAGAGGTGAGAACGGGCAAAAGCTCAATTAGCCTGCCCTTCGGTGGGTCCCCGCTCAGATCTCAAGCTAGTTTTAGCTCAACTTGTACCATTACAGAGGGAACATCTCTGAAGCATATCATACTGGTCCCACCCAGTGGCGTACTAAAGGGGGGGGGGGGGGTGGTCCACCCCCGGGTGCCAGCAGGGTGGGGTGTGCCTTGGGAGGGGGCGCCGCCAGTAGCGCCGGCCCCCCTCATGCTGCAGCTGCCCGAGCGCAGCCTGAGGAGTGGGGCTGACAGGAGGGAAGCGCTCAGCGCTCCCTCCTGTCACTCCCTCTCTGTAGCGTGGCCGAGCCCTCTATTGGTCCGCGGGTACAGGGAGCATCTGTCTCCTGTACCAGGCCGGACTAACAGGAAGTACACACTGAGTGTGCACTTCCTGTTAGTCCGGCCTTGGACAGGAAACAAAAGCTCCCTGTACCCGCGGACCATAGAGGGCTCGGCCACGCTACAACAATGGTAGGGGGGGGAGAATAAGGAGAGATTGGGAGGGGGGAATAAGGAAAGATGGGGGAATAAGGAGAGATGGGGAATAGAGATTGGGAGGGAATAAGGAGAGATGGGGGGAATAAGGAGAGATGGGGATAAGGAGAGATTGGGAAGGAGAGATTGGGATAAGAGAGAGATGGATGGATAAGGAGAGATTGGGGGGATAAGGAGAGATGGGGGATAAGGAGAGATTGGGAGGGGGATAAGGAGAGATTGGGGGGGATAAGGAGAGATTGGGGGATAAGGAGAGATTGGGGGAGAGATGGGGGATAAGGAGAGATTGGGAGGGGGATAAAGAGAGATTGGGGGGATAAGGAGAGATTGGGGGGATAAGGAGAAATTGGGAGGGGGGAAGGAAATTGGAGAGGGGGAATAAAGAAAGATTGGGGGGATAAAGAAAGAAATTGGGAGGGGGGAGAAGGAACTTGGGAGAGGGAAGGAAATTGGAGGGGGTATAAAGAAAGATTGGGAGAGGGGGATAAAGAAAGAAATTGGGAGGGGGGAGAGAGAAGGAAATTGGAGGGGGCAGAGAAGGAAATTGGAGGGGGGGAGAGATTGACATTCATCACACACAATGCACCCCTTGCACACAGAAAAACACACAATGCCTTACACACACTGCATTACACACACAGACACACATACACAAGCAATGCAACCGTGACACACAATGCATCCCTTACACACACAGAAACACACCGTGCATTCATTACACACACTCAATGCACCCGTTACACACACTCAATGCATCCCGTACATACACAGAAACACACCTTGCAGCCCTTACACATACAAACACAGATTCACACAATGCATTCCTTACACACATATCAGGACATCCCCTACACACTCCACCCCCTGTGAACAAACTCATTGGTTGAAAATGAAGGTGGACCCTGGGACCCAGACCTTGAGCTGTGTAAAGGGCCCCCCAAAAATGGAGCTGCTTCCCGTTCTCCCAGAACATTTATTTTTGTGACCACAGTTACAAACCGCCTCCAGAGAGCCTGTTCTACACCAGACCAGTGGAGCCAGACTGCAGCTAGGGCGGCAAAAATCCTTGCACCGGCCCTGGCTGGAGGGGGCTGTGTGAGCTGTGGCCGCACAGTGCCCCATGGTAGTTAGGGTGCCGTGCGGCCAGTACAGCTCACACAAGCAAACAGCTGATAAACTGGCCGCACGGAGGAAAAGTGGGGCGGAGCTAAGCAAAATCGGAGGCGGAGCCACACTGGCGCTGGGGGGGGGACTTTTGGGGGGACAAGGGGGTGCCAAGCACAGGATCCACCCCGGGTGCCAAATGCTCTAGGTACGCCCCTGGTCCCACCCATACAGGCAGTCCAGATCCGAAATGCCAGCAAGTTCCCTCTTCATGAGAGATGCGGCAACCCCAGATGATTGTTTCAACCTTGTAAGGTATCATCAGTGAGGTATAGCCAATATTACACAATTCCCACCTATCCATCAGAACAAATTCAAATAGCACACTGACCGCAGTCCACTCTTTCAAATACTTGGGTATGTTGTTAGACCCCCAATCTATCTTTCGGCCTCGACATAGAAAAACTTGCATCTAAACTTTATCCAAAACTAGGTGCCCTATACAGAAACAAATCCTGCCTAAGCCCTACAGTAAAGGAAAAGATTGTACAGCAAATGCTGATGCCAAACATTGATTATGGGGATGTAGTATATGCACCTGCACCACAATCCCACATTAATAAACTCAATACATTGTATAACTCGTTCTGCCGATTTCTGCTACAATGTAATTACAGGACCCACCATTGTGACATGCTAAAAGTACTAAACTGGCTGTCGCTGGAATCCAGACGCACCCTTCATCTTTCCAGCCTTGTGTTTAAGAGCTTTTCTGGGAAACTCCCGCCCTACCTGAGCAGAATGCTCTCCTCGGCTGTTCCCACCTCCTATAACCTCCGATCCAGTACCAGGACTTTATTTAGTCTACCTCAATACAAAAAGAAAGCAACCCGATCCTCCTTTTCCTACAGAGCACCACAATTGTGGAATGACCTGACGCACACTTTAAAATCTTCCCCAAGCCTAAAGTCCTTTAAGAGCTCCCTCTCTACATACCTCAAAACAGAATGCACATGTCATGTTTGATTATATATTTCCTACCTGTTCTATGTTAAATTTTGTATATATTGTGTATTAATATTGGTTTTGTGTTTTATTGTACCCTAATGTATCAATGCAATGTTTTGTGGACCCAGGACATAATTGAAAATGAGAGAAATCTCAATGTATCTCTCCTGGTAAAATATTTTATACATAAATAAAGCACCTTCACTTCACAAGTTATTTTGGTGGTTCTATCTCAGACTTATATATAACATAGAATATGAGGATACGGGTCTACGCAGGGATCTATGTGTAGATCATGCAGACTCTGCCATACCAAACATCACTAACAGAAACAGGACACAGTGCCACACATTATCAGACCACATCCACCAGTATCTAATATATTCTGATACCCTAGCACTTAACTTTCAAATGTGCCAAAAGCTACGATTTATCATTACCACCTATTGGACTGACACTGAGACAGTAAAGAAAATTCCACGGAGACACTTGTCAATATGTTGTAATTATAGCAACAGCCGAATATCAGCCATCAGCTTTGCAAACTTAAATGGGCATCCACCAAGATCAGAAATGCTGATCCAGGCTTAGCCATCTAACATTTGTTCCATTGTGTTTCACAGTCCTTTCCCCTACTATCTCACTCAATACCTTTTTTTCCTATGTACCTTACAATGGAGGAAGGTAACACTGGAACAGACCGATGTCACACATACTTTTCCCTTTATATGATCAATGTGTGTTTGTGTATGCGTGGGTGTGAGTGTCTGTGTACATTTGTGAGAGAAAATGAAAACCAAAATACAACAAGGATAAAAGGCTTACAGAAAATTTGCTCTGAAAGTGTTAAAGTTGTCTTCTTGAATTGTGAAAAATAGCATTGCTCTGACAATGAGTGCAAGGTTCATAGAGCACATTAGAATTCCACTTGGATGGCATATATACAAAAGATTTTGTACATGCCATAGTACAGTGACAGTCTCACACGGATGAAAGAAAGGCTGGAGAGGAAATGTAACAGAAGAAAGAATCTTTGTGTTTGGATACAACTGTCACTCATTTTGAAGGACAACCCCCAGAAAATCCAGAATTATCCCTCATTACCCTTTGTCTGATGTTTATAGAATTCTTTTTTGAAAGGTTGGTTTTCATGATTCATGCAAATGTTAACTAAATTCCTTATGGAAACCTGCAAATTGAAAAAGTTAAGGGCAAAAGGAGGAAATTGAGACAAAATAAAGTGCATGTGATATACAGTTGCAAGAAAAAGTATATGAACCCTTTGGAATGATATGGATTTTTGCACAAATTGGTCATAAAATGTGATCTGATCATCATCTAAGTCACAACAATAGACAATCACAGTCTGCTTAAACTAATAACACACAAAGAATGAAATGTTGCCATGTTTTTATTGAACACACCATGTAAACATTCACAGTGCAGGTGGAAAAAGTATGTGAACCCCTAGACTAATGACATCTCCAAGAGCTAATTGGAGTGAGATGTCAGCCAACATACTTTTTCTTGCAACTGTAATTAGGGTGTTTTTCTATCAATGTGTAGATATTCAAAGCACTAGTAAGTGGAAAAATACATTCCATTATCTGTTTTTCAAAGAAATAGACTTTGGTCATCCATGACTATGGTTAGTAAACCAACCAGGCCGTACGTTTTGTGCCATTAATTCGTAGGTTGTATGCCATGTTACCTGTAAGCACTTTTATGAGAGGTCAAGCAATGAAAGAGTAAAAATGAAACATTGTACAACTAAACTCTTAAGTTTGAGCATGTGCTGGGATTGTATAAAACAAAGTCTATTTTACCTTTCATTGCTGGACAATTTAATGTTTCCAAGAACATTCCTATCTTTTGGATTCCAATACAACCTGTACACTGATGACACTCAGATATACCTCTCCTCCCTGGACCTCTCCCCTGCCGTCCTGCAACGTGTCACTGCTTGCATTTCTTCCATCTCTGACTGGATGTCCTCACACTTTCTGAAACTCAATCTCTCTAAGACTGAACTCCTTGTCTTTCCTCCTAATACTGATCCTCCTCTCTCACTCTCCCTTCAAGTCAGTGGAATCCACATAAGTCCATCCTTGCAAGCACGCTGTCTTGGTGTCATACTTGACTCTGGCCTCACCTTTGAGCCTCACATCCAGTTTGTTGCCAAATCCTGTGGGTTCCAACTTAAAAACATAGCCCGCATCCGTCCCTTTCTTACGCAAGATTCTACCAAGGAGCTTGTCCATGCTCAAGTAATTTCCCACATGGATTACTGTAAGCCTCTCCTGATTGGTCTCCGCAAAAGCCATATTGCCCCGTTACAGTCTGTAATGAATACTGCAGCTAGACTGATTTTCCTCTCTAGTCGGATCTCTCACACCTCACCCCTCTGACAGTCCTTACATTGGCTTCCTGTATGCTAACCAATACATTTAAAGCACTGAACAATTCTAGCCCCTCTTATATCTCTTCACTGATCCATAGGTATGCCCCTCCTCGTTCCCTCCACTCTGCCCATGACCACTTCCTGACCGCTGCTCGCACCCATATGGCCAACTCGCCATCAGACTCTCCCCTAGTCTTCAATCATTTAAGAAGGGCCTTAAAACCCATCTCTTCAGGAAAGCTTATGGCCTCCCAGAGTAACCTCTACCTTACATACCTGTCTCTTGCTTTCCCCTATAGGGCAGCACTTTACTCTCTCCTCCAGCTCTGCTTCACGCCCACACTATTTGATTGATATTTCCTGTCCTAACGTGTCTTATACCCCACCTCCTGCAGACTGTAATCTCATTTGAGCAGGGTCCTCTTCAACCTATTGTTCCTGTAAGTTTTTTTGTAAGTGTCCTATTTATAGCAACATTCCCCCTCATAATATTGTAAAGCGCTATGGAATCTGTTGGCGCTATATAAATGGCAATAATAATAAAATAATAATAATAAGAGCAGATATTACATCTATACTGGATCCAACATAACAGTCTAGATTTGGAACCTATCTCCCATGGTCATATAATAGTACTCTTTATTTCTCGAGGTAAGAGAGAATAATAAAAAAGGTAAAGAAAGTAATGGGAGAAATGAAGTGAGCAATGGGACAGTAGTGAGAACAACAGTGTAGTGAAGAAAGAAAAACTCCAGAGAGAGAGGGTGATTGAGGAGCAATGGGAAATGGGGGAGAGTAGTGGTGGATGTTGGAGAGACCGCAAAACATTTGTCAGAATGAAGAAGTAAATAAAAAAAAGATAAGAAAATAAAAATAAAGAAAAAGTAAAAGAAGAAGTAAATAAAATAAAAAATAACAGTAGGAACAAAATAGATACATTAAATACAACAGTAGATGCATGAGGGATGGAATATGAACCTTTACAATAAATATTGATCTGTTAATTTAATGATAACCAAACGTACTAGAAAAACATAATAGTTCAATCACCAGCATAAAAGCACCCGGGAAATGTCATGACAAAAAAAAAATCTCAACTAACTTTATACATACAAGAGACAAACAAACCTCTGCATATACTTTTTTTTTTTTTTTTTTACAACAGTTTGATGAGTGATGGACTTTTTAGAATGGTTTGAGTAAATTAGAATCGCCACTGGATTACAGAGCCAGACATTGAATCATATTTGGCGGATTATATCTGATGCATCAGGTCATAAGACAAAATGTAAGAGATCAGATTGCATTTTGCGTTTGGAATGGTTAGTTATAGAAGCAGAACTGAAAAGATGAAGATAACAGTACTTCTATTGAAATATTTGTCTCTAAATGAAACGTCTTGAATTTGCACATTTTTACACTTTAACTCTGCATATACCTTGTTTAATGTAGACTAGTGTTGCTTACAGAATTGTTATAAAGATGCATATGTCTGGAGAAAAAAATTAACGTGTCATCAACTATCTGCTTCAGTAACGTTAAAGATTCATAGTTTCATATTTATCAGATTTCCATCGAGTAATCTGAATATGTTGCAAATTTTATAGCATCACATATTAAGTGGTTTGTAGCTTCTAGGTATGTTAAAATGTATTGTCAGTTTAACTGCAAATAATATTTTTTCTCAATCTGGGATTATTAAAAGGAGCAATGAAAAATTCTAAGGGAGTAAATTCATGCTGCAAGAAGGAAATATATATAGCATATAAAAATTAGTTATTCTGCGGAAGAGAACTATAAAATGAAGAAAATAGTTCTGTCCTTAAAAAAGTATGTAAACTCTAATAAAAATACCAAAAAAAAGGAAATACTGTAAGGTCTTCATAACAAAATGTATTATTGGTATAAATATTGTATAAATGTTTACATAAATAAACATATTTGCATAAATACATAATTAGAAAACCTGCAATAAATATTTTTATATATAGATTATGTTGTAGCTGTAAATGTAATGCTTTTATCCTAAACAATATGCTGAATCTCATATAACAGTAGCAAGTCAGCACCCAAGGCTAAATCCTCTACATACTGAGAAACTTGAAGTTGGCAGTTCATAATATTTTAGCCAAAAATAACTGTTAACAATGTTTTCCTGCAGAAAGTTAAACATTGGCAAAATATCTCCTTAATATACCAAATAATGTCTCAAAGCCACCAGGTTAACATCTTCCTGGTTTAGAAGTTGTGTATAATAAAACATACCCTATTATAGGATTGGATTGGATTTGTTGTACCAGCACAACCTACAGATGCTCAATTGGATTGATCTGGGGAATTTGAAGGCCAAAAAACACCTTGAATCTTTTGTCATGTTCCTCAAACTATTCCTGAACAATTTGTGTAGTGTGGCAGAGTGCATTAAGCATACAGGCTGAAAAAGCCTTCTAAAAAGCAGGGAACGACATTACAATGAAGGCGTGTATGTGGTCTGCAACAATTTCTAGGTAGATGATATGTGTCAAAGTAACATCCACATGAATACCAAGACCCAAGGTTTCCCTGCAGAATATACCCCAGAGCATAACATTGCCTCCACCGGCTTGCCTTCTTCCCATAGTGCATCATGCTGCTATCGCTTCTCTAGGCAAGTCACACACATGCATGCAGCCATCTATAAGATAATGTGATTCATCAGACCAGGCAACGTTCTGTCCATTGCTCTATGGTCTAGTTCTGATGCTGAAGTCCCTTTGATGACGTTTTCAGCTGTGGACAGGGGTCATCATGGGCATGCTGACAGGACAGCGGCTAGCTAGCGATAAAAGCAGAACACTGTGATGCACTGTGTGTTCTGACACCTTTCTATTATGGCCAGCATTAAGCTTTTCAGCTTAATGTTCAAGATGGATTAGTCTTCACTCCCCCGTGCATCAATGAGCCTTGGGCACCCATGACTCTGACATTGATTCATAGGTTATCCTGCCTTGAACCACTTTTGGTAGGAACTAATCACTTTATACTGGAAACAATCCACAAGAGTTGCAATTTAGGAGATGGTCTGGCCCAGTCGTTTAGTCAACACTATACAGCCCTTGTCAAAGTCATTCATATTTTCCTATTTATCTGCTTCCAACACATTCAAAAACTTTCTGTTCATTTGCTCCCTAATATGCCTTGACAAGTACCATAGCAACAATATAAACAAATGTTATTCACTTCACCTGTGAGTGGTTTTAATGTTGTGACTGATCAGTTTACATATAAATAGCACGCTATATAGAATGTTGTCTTTATACATGTGCTACCTACAGAGGCATAACTAAAAACCATCAGGCTCCAGCCTCTCCGTGTCTCATTCTTCACCCTTAGTTTCTCCACGTGTCTCAATCTTTCCCTTGTACCCCCCAGTCCCCCTACGTGTCTCCTTCTCTCTCCCCCAGTCCTTCCACATGTCTAATTTCCCAACCAGTGCCTTCACATGTCTTTCCCCATTTCCTCCATGTGCCTCCTCAACCACTCCATGGGTCTCATTCTCTCTCCCAGCTCCTCCATGTGCCTCATCCCTCAGTCCCTCCATATGTCTCATTACCCCCTGTTCCTCCATGTGTCTCTCCCACCCCAGATCCTCCATGTGTCTCTCCCACATGCCTAGCACCTCCATGTGTCTCTACCACACCCTCCAGCCCCTCCATGTGTCTCTCCCACCATTGTGCCCCTCCCTGCATCTCTCCCATCCCCCTAGCCCGTCTCTGTGTCTTTCCCACATCTCTATGTGTCTCTCCCACCCCAATCCCCTCCATGTGTCTCTCCAATCCTCCACCAGCCCCTCTCCCACCCCTTACCAGCCCTTCATGTGTCTTTAACATCCCACACCATCCCCTCAATGTGTCTCTTCCACCCCCCATTTGCTCCTCCATGTGTCTCTCCTACCCCCCCCCCACCAGTCACTCCATGTGTCTAATTTTGTCCTCAGTGCTTCTGTCTTTCCCCATTTATCTCATTGTCTCCCCAGCTCCTTCATGTGTCTCATCCTTTCCCCCACCAGCCCCTCAATGTGTGTCTACCATGCCCACCACTCTCTCTGTGTGTCTCTCCCATCCACCACCACCTCCCAGGTGTTTTTCTCACTCCCAAGCCTATCCATCTTCTATATAGATATAAGGGAGAAACAGCAGATTAAGTTCTTGATTTGCCCTCTCCCCCTTTTTCTTTTTCTTAAATAATTATTGGTTAGATATCTAAAAGAGGTGCAAACCTCATGCTGCTAAATCTGAATCTTCCGGGTTTAAAGAATAAATGAAACTGCCTTCCTTTTGCCCATAACTACAAGTGTCATGCGATATCATTAATAAAAACTCAGTGGTGCCTTTTTCAAGTTGTGTCCAGGGCATGTTCCATTCCTGCCATTCCCTAGTTGCGCCACTGCCTCTTATTCACACTTGCTGAATGTTTTAGGGATTCCCCAACTCCTGATCATTGTATCCTCCCACTTAACTGTTTAGTATAGTGTCAGATGAGGCTCAATCATGGCCAATAGTGGCCAATCATTTTCACAGTGACTGGATGAACATTCACACTCTGCATATGTACCCTTTAGTAAAAACAAGTTATTTTCTTCTCTTAACATCCAAAAATATATATTTAGAAATGGCCCAGACAGAGCATATATTATTTATACTTTGTGCATATCTGCACACATACTGGATACAGAGAGGCACATCTCTGATTGGTACTCTAAGACTGCTGTAGACATATCATCCATATTAATTTTCTTGTAGTGTATATTTATTTTATATCATCTATCTTGTGAGCAGATTACACATATTATGCACTTAAAGACATAATACATATGTTGGTTACAGTCTTATTTTTCTGGTGTTTTTGTATATGTGTGTTGGTCTCCAAACCTTGTTTTACCCCTGATACAGGAAACAAAACTGTTTTGTCAACTGTCTATAATAGTAAATTATTTACTGTATTGACACTGCCTTCCAAAGCACAGTGCAGAATCCCTTCACATTGGGACATATTCTCTAAGTCTTGGTGCAGTCAGTATATATTATAAAGAACACAGAAAAGGGTGCATTCTCAAGACTTCCACAACTGTAATTATACTGTAACAAAATAAGGTTACAACAAAGTGATAGAAGATTTGACCTCATTGTACTGTTTTCAAGACCAAAATATATAAGTAAAAAATCTATTACCTTAATTAAGGTTTTCTGTAACTTTACCACTTGTTTTTCTCCCCGCAGTATTCTATTTAGTTGAGGGCGAGAAGAAGACCTAATCTGCAAGAGCTTTTTGTTTGTATTTTTTTTTCCCAGTTTTTCCAAAAACAATGCCTCTGGCATTATGAAAAAAATGTCAAGAATAATTTTCCTTAATGTTCTTTCAGACATAATCTTGTACCTTAAGAATTTAAACTCCTTGAACTGCCCTTTTAAATTCTTTGAATGACAGAGGGTCTTGCAAAACTTTACCCATGCCTCGGGCACTTTGAGGCTTATCTAATTTAGTCTATAAAAAAAACCAAAAAAAAAAACACACTTATAGCTTGTGAAGGCATGAATAGCATGTGCCCAATTGAAATAATTTATGGAATATATCCTTATAGTCACACATTCAGTGCCATGTTGCCTTTCCATCATTTCTACACATGTATTCTATAATGCAACTATCATATCACAATTTGATATCCTTTTGGTTTTTTTGTGGCTTTTATAACAGAACAATAAATATTTTAAAGAGAGAATGCACTGTATCATTGTTTTCTTTGTCTCTCCACTTCCTTTTCTCTCCCACTTGTAGCTCTTAATATCAAAAGAAAACAGATTAGTATTTTCTACTACAAACACTGGGAAAAAACCCTCATACTCCCTATGGCTCATTATAGGATTACATGACTGAATGTGGACGAAATACCCAAAAGGGATTGACCTTAGAGAGGACACAATGAGAAATTTGGGAGTCACCTGTCATTTTTGGTCAATGTTAATTATCCAAGAACAAAACTGTTCTCTAGGAGAACAGGCGTCAAAGCCTTGGTAGAAGCTGCAGCCAGATGGCTGTTGGGAGCCCATGAATGGGCAGTTTGGGACTTATTCTTTTGTTAGGATTCTCTGAGGAAGAAGCTTCTTATTTTTGTTGTAAAGGAAACAGCTTTTCGATATTACGAATTTCTTAATTTATGAAGTCCCGGTGGTGATAAAACCCCAAACTATCTTGCTAATTAAAGTCATGTTGTTCTTAGTATATGTGCATATAGTTATGGGAAGAGTCAATAGGGATTTATAAAGCATTCCTCAATTTGCTATAAAAACCAAGGGTTAATTTGATAATGATGGAGCCTTTTTACAATACTGCTATAAAAAAAACAAAAAAAAAAACATTTTGTGGTTATTGTTTTCATAATGGAATTCTGGATATAAATTAGGGCATTATCTATCGAGGCAAACATTGTGCTAGTTTGGGTTAATGTGCTAAATAATGGGCTGTTGCCATGGAAACCAATAGAATATCTATTAACAACATATTATTTCCTTGATAATTATGGCATGTGATGTTAGATGAAAGAAAGAAAATAAAGAGAGAGTTGGTTTCCAATTATAAAAGCAGGTACAAGTTTTGTAATTGTTCAAATTTAACTCCTTCACTGCTAACAATGACTCACCATTCATAGTGCTTCTGAAATGTGTATTTCTGGGTTTCAAAAGTATAATGACACTGCAATCATTAATATGTGCATCTAGTGCTGTGTGATATAACTTGTTAGTATGTGGTAATGCCGTACACAATGAGGGATGACCAAGAGATACTGGCATTTCTTCATTGTGTAAATGTGGGTGGCACCCCTCCACTGACTTGTCTCTGTCACCACCCACCTACATAGGCAGCGGAGCCCTTGCTTGGAATGGTAGACTGCCCCCCTAAGGTGGGGAAAATTCATTGCACAAAAATGTTAATTATCTGCAACAACTGCAAATTTAAATGTTGCCTTAGGAAGAGAAGTTCTAACAAAGACCCTGTCTACTCTTTTGTTTAACCTAAGTGGATTAGTTATCCCTCATTATAAAATAATGTCTCTTGCCACCCTATAATTCGGGTAATCACTGGTAGTAATGGTGACAACTAGAATTGTGCACAGTGAAAATGTTTAGTACAGCTGAATTAATTTTTTCAGAAAAAAAACAAAATCTGTCAATTCAGGGTTCATCCATTTGGAATTTTGGGGAAATTGATTTTGGGGAAAATTATTTTGGTGAACCAAAAAGTGCAAAAATGCTGCAAAACTTTTGCAGTACAATCACAAATTGATTTCATATTATAGCAAATGATAATAAGTATGAAGGTTATAAAGAGTAGAATAGACTTAAAACAGAAAGAAAATGTTTTTCGGTTTGATTTAACCAAATGTCGGTTTAGCATCTGAATCAGGAGAACAAACCAAAAAGGTGGAAAATGGTCTGCCCAATTTTTGAAATACTTTCAATAGTCCCTGGCCTTATCTTATAGTTAGGATAGCCATATGCCTATCCCACACATGCTTAAACTCCTTTACTGTGTTAACCTCTACCACTTCAGCTGGAAGGCTATTCCATGCATCCACTACCCTCTCAGTAAAGTAATACTTCCTTTATAGATCAAGTCAGAAGAAGCATCCAATAGAAGGAAAATAGGAATAGCAGTGAAATAGGTAATATTCTCTCTAAAATCAGGGGTGACATGCGCAAACAGCTATCAGGTGATCATAATGGCAACTGTGATCCCTTGAAAACACCATATACAAAGTTCAAAGAAATCATGGCAGTTAAATAACTTTCTGTTGTACCCCTCCACCAAGATTAATAACCACTGTAAAATCGGCATTTTGTGTAAATTAAATCTAGGCGAAATGTTGATAATAGATATTTAACCCCTACACACTGTTTGCACAAATTACAAGAAATACAAAGTAACAAAATAATACAGTACATCTAATTTTCAATTGCTATTCTTTTGTTTAAAAACAATTGATATAAAATATTAGGTGTTACTTTTTCTAGGAAACTGGTGTGTTGTTAAATTTGAAAAGCATATTTTCCATTTTCTTTAAATATTTATTGTATAATATCTCCCTTTTCAGTATTTGAATTTTTGGCTTGCAAACTAAATTATTTATTAAAAAGTCTGTTCTGCCAAAATATACATTTTTAAATGTAACTCCTTGAAACGCCCTGACATTGGTGTTTAAATTCAGAGTGCAAAAACCTAAAAAAAAATGCTTTAGTAAATAGATGTGAATCGGCTTAAAAATTAAGGGGTTAAAATATTTGTTTACAATATATTAACAACATAAGCTACATTTTTATTATTGTTAGCTCACAGTAATTTATAGGCATCTATATAACAACCAATGCCTCGTCAAATTTTCAAATAATGCTTTTGACAAAGGCCAATGATTTGTAACATCTGCTGAAGATCACAGAATACTCAACAGATTTGAATTGTGATGTCAGCCACCTTGATTATGTAATCGGTTCCAACAGCCAGTCAGCAGACAGTGTTATTTTTAAACTTGCAAATCCTGCTCTATATTTCCTTAGTTATGTTAGCTTGGTGTCTAACATATGCAGAGTAACAGAGTTAACCCCTCTAACAATGCATCTGGCAGATGGCTTTCACATCTTCACTTTTTATTATGAGTCACATGGGACTTAATTTGTCAGCTGATAATACAATCCATTCTCTATCACCAATTGGCACAGAGTGTACTTTACATGTTTTCAGATCATGAGCCCTGAATATCACTTTAATTATCACAGATGTCGACTATCACTCTAGTTATAGCAGTTATACCAAATATACATATTATTCCAAATATAAATAAAACTACAGGTTAAAGTAGAAGAAAAATGAACCACACAAATCACAAGAAAACCTTGTATTGATAAATAATTAAACATATAATTCTAAATCCGTAAATATATGATTATTCTTGGCCTGTATATTCTATGTGAAATGAGGCTGTTATAAATCTGTGATCAATTATTTTTTTTTAATAATAATAATAATAATTTAAAAATATCTATACCTTTATGTTCATTTTCTCCAGAAATAATTCATAAGAAGCATTTGATAACAAATGGTGTACAACTGGTGCTTAAAGTGTTAAAACATAGTGTTCTATTCACTAAATTCAAATGACATGACTAACTGTTCATTGAATAGAACTTATAGATCTATAGTTAATAGAAGTGATACAAAATGGACAGAATGACTAAGATTATTCAAGTATCACCAGTGAGCACACACAGTTATTCTAAACTGTCTGACAACTAACTACTACTAAAAACTTTATAAATAATTTCAGTTATTGTATATTGTTTTCATTCTTGAATTATTTGTAAATAATGCTAGATTGAACAAGTGTAATACATTTTTTTTAAATGTTCTTTCATTTTATTAGCAGTTTTTTTTTTTTTTGCTTTCATACCAGTCACTGCATCCGACAGATATCCAGCATCTATTGTTTGCCATGAAGGATTTAAAGGCCAGTCAACAGCTGATTTTTTTAAATAGCCAGTGCATCTTGACAGATTTGAAATGTGAAGCCAGCCACCTGGATTCGTCAGCCCTCCCTGAGAACCAATCACAGAAGAGTGCTATTTTCAAATTGGCATGCCATAGTCAGAAGACAATTTTTATTATGGCAACCCACTGCCTATGTACACAGCAACAGGATTAGCATATTCAAACAATAAACTGAAACTAGACTTTTTTTGCATTGGCAAGCTGTGATCAGCCCAGTTTATAATAATAATAATACTAGTTATTAGTATATTGCAATTGTTAAAACTACAAAAATAACTATTAAGGCTGCTGATTAATGTACATTTCTAAAGATTTAACTCCAATTTCTTTAAAAATAAACAGCTTAAATATGTAGAATTACATACATAAAATAAATAATATTTTATTTATAAAAATCCTTAGTAGTATTCTTTTTAAAAGCATGGTTAAAATATTCTTAGCTTTGTTAATCCAACAAAAATATTTAGATCCATTGTAATTTTATTGGACTATGAATGTATTGGATGTTATCTTTATATAAAATAATGGTAAAGAAAATCTAGAAACTTTCTAATTATGTTTTAGTAGTCCTGTAGTGGATTGGATATTACTTAAACTAATAAAAGTGTTTTTTTTGTTTTTTTTATTACACTTCATTCTTATCTCCTAAACAAACAACACCACTCAGTGATATAAATATGGGTCATGATTTTATGAAATAGCGCAATAAATTCATCAACTGCTATAATGGTTTGAATAACACAATAAATTCATCAGCTGCTATAGCTGTTCATATCTCCCGGCTGTGGGTCAGTGCAGCCGCTTCATTTTTCTATGACTGATAAATGTGCTGTGAATGAGTTGTGTATTAATAATAATAGCTGTACCCCCGAACACACATGAAAAATGATCTAGGACGGTAATATGGAATTACTGTCAATCAACTTCAAAATTAAGTGAATAAAAAAGTCCATTAAACCCAGACTCCTTGGTTTTCACAACAGATCTTGGAACAAATCAACACATAATGATATTTTTAAACTAAGAAAATTACTCCAATATTTAACTTAAAAAAAACACTCAGGGCACCAATACAAATATAATGCATTAGGATTTGTAAGTATCCACCCTTCCCTTGCAGGCGTTTCAAAGGTAAGTTTTACTTAACATACATCTGACCTGTACTCAACTTACATCTCCATGCTGACACTCCCCTTCCATGGCTGAGATCATCCATTTCAATGATCTCCGCCAATCCAATACCCCCCCATAGCCAATCCAATACCCCCCCATTGAGGCTAGTGCGCATGCACTAATGCACTCAGAGTCATTTGAGCTATAATCAAGTTTAACTCGGTTATAGCTACAGAAGTACCTCTAGTGGCTGTCTTTCTCAAAACCACTAAACGTGTATTAACCTTGATCTGAAAACATTGCCATTCCTGTAAACCAGCAATGTTTTCTTTTTAGTTGCAGGGTTAAAAAGATAGGAACATGGCACCCAGGCAACTTCATTAAGAAAAAGTGGTCCAGATGCCTATAAATTCCCTTTAAAATGTTGTTTTTTTGTATGCTCACATTTTTATAGTTTTATGGAAATAAAGAAATGTTGCACCATATAGTTTTCTCTTAGCCACACTCCCCATATCAGATAGACTTCACTATGAGATTAGGCACACAGATAATTCTATACTGTCCTTTTAATGTCATTCATTGTCAGGCACTTTTTGAAAGAGAAAATAAAACTTTTAAGATTTATCTAAAATAAGGGATGTGGAACTTACACATAAAATTAAGACAAACCAGCAATTTTGTGTATATATTGTGTATAAAACACACCTAGAATCTCAATGTGTATTCTGAGCGTTGATATCACTTTCATATTATCTTGACTTTCAGCAAAGAAAATATAATATTAACCCCTTAAGGACCAGGGATAACCTATGCTATCATTACTTTCCAGAACACGGCTTCTGGCGAGTATAGTAGTGAAGGGGTTAACGTATGGACACCTCCAAGATTAACTTAGACTTTAATAACATAGCAGGTGTTTCATTATTTTCACCTTTCATAGCAAATAGTGTTGTTAATATGTTATCATGCTTGATTTAGCAGCTGTTATAAAAACAGTGGCAGAAAGTAATCTTATTATTAATATTATGGAAAGAATGAATGCGCATTTTGTAAGGTGACATACAATGCAACACAATGCAGGGAACATCCTGAATCCTTTGAATCCAATGATTAAAAAGCCAATCAGCTGCTGAGTCACAACGTGGTCTGAACTCCTTGATAAATATGAATTGCCACTTTGATTACGACATCATCACACACTCTGACCAATCAGCATAGAGTGCATTTTTTAAAAGAAAACCTGAATATCACATTTTCTATTAATCTATTTTTTTTCTGTTTATTAAATTATAATTATAATCAAGGAATTGATATTATGATAATACATTTATTTAAATAACATCTTTGAAATATTATTCAAGATAATTTTAATGGCAATAAAAATATTATTCTATATATTATTATACATAAGAATTGCATATTTTTATGTGAAATATTAGTCCCTTGGTATTAAATTTATTACTGCAGTTTATGAATGCTGTAATACATTGTTTTGTTTTTGTTTATTCTGATAAAATACAAATTTTGTTACTAGTTCTATTAGTTAGACTGTATGTCAGATGTATTTTTACTTTACGTTCATCTTCTAGACCTTATCTCAGTAAAGCTAACCACTATACAGTAGGAGTGCCATATAATGGACGACATAGCTCAATAAACGCATAGACTATCGTACGTGTTCAAACGTACAATAGGCTACAATATAGCTTGTACATTTGAGCCTCACTTCTGGACACAATACAAAACAAGACAAAAAAATAGAATGGATCATCGTGGATCCTTTGTATCCACAGATAAAAAAAAAAAATAGAGAACAGCTGAGTCAGGAATAGGTCTGAAAATTTGACAGCTTTGAACTGCTACAATAATTTTTATTATATAAGCGTTGACCAATCGGCATGCAGTGCTATAATAAAACCTGCCTATGGAATGTCAATCATATCCTCTCTCTCTAGCTTTCTCTATCTGTTTAGAATAATATTACGAGACTAGTAGAATTTTATACATATATTAGATATTATCTATATAAATAATGCCAGCTAAAAAAGAAAAAAAAAATCATGCACCTATTCATACCTCAAAGTTGAACCTTTCATCTTTCTGTAGTTAAAACTTGGCAATTGTTAAGGTTAGTTATTTATCATCAATCAGTAGGTCAGGCATAGGCAACCTTCGGCACTCCAGATGTTTTGGTCTACACCTTCCATGATGTTTTGCCAGCATTACGGGTGTAAGAGCATTATGGGGGATGTAGTCCAAACCCTCGAGAGTGCCAAATGTAGCCTATCCCTGCCCTACAGCATTCATGAAAATGAAAGAAGAGTTCTTTGTATCTGTCCTGGTAAAGTGTGATTGTTAGAATTATGAGAGGGCTATGCTACTAGCCAGACCTTAAAAGTTACTTGCCACTCCAAGTTATATCATACCACCTACGGGTGATTCCCTATTCACATGGGCTAAATTTTCACTCACCAATGGCACAAAGCCCCCCTTAATTTTTACCCCAGAGCTAATCAGAAATTAGTTAAATTTTAGACTATAAAAGGTATTGGTTATCCACATGTATTTATTACATTAACATAAAAATGAAATATATAGCTTGTACATACAGTGAAACAGAACACTGCCTCTTATCTATTTTAATTCTTGGAAATGTTTGTCACTAAACATTTATCTACAAATTATAGGGTCTGTTTACTAAACAGTTCGAGTTCAAAATTTAGAGAAATATTTTAGTTTAATAAAATCTCCAGCTCAGTTGAGTTAGAGTTTTTTTTCTTATTTTTTTTACTTTTTCTTATGTTATTATTTAAATAATGACCACATCAAGCCAATCCAATAATGTGTAATCAACAAACAAAGGCCAGAGATATAAACTGATCAATGGGTGACCTCAAAGTCAGTCAACAGCTGCCTAAAACGAGGCTTGAGCGTCTTCACAGGTTTGAGCTGCTGTCTGGGTGATGACATCATTGGCTCTGACCTATCAGCACTTAGTGCACTTTTTAAACCCGCATATCATGTATACTTGATGTTCTACCAATGTCCTCATCCTCTAGAGACTAGCCTAATAAATGCACTATTACAGGATAAGCTATCTAGAAATACAGATATTATTTTTGAACTCTGTTATAAAGTGTCTTCTAGTTATTTTTGTAAATCTGAATATTACATGCAAATAATTTACTCTTTATTGTAAAATCTCCTACCTAAAACATGGACTGTACAGCATTAACTAGGACTGCAATGCAACAGCTGATCATTTCACAGTTATCAACCATTTGTTTTATCTAATATTGGTGTTTTTTGTCAAAATGCTATGTTTATGAACTGCCAATAATGCAGAAAATAATTACTGGACATACTAATGCTATTTTTCCTAGTATATAAGGAATGCATTTTGAGCTTCATTACAGGATAAAATGCAAATCAAGGCAAGAAGATTGCAGGGGGCATTCTCTGCGCTTTGAATACAAAAGATTGAAATGCAATTCAACAGCTGTGTCAGGAATTGGTCTGAGCATTTTGACAGATGCAAACTGCCACCTTGATTGTTACATCATCCACTTTGACCAATCAGAATTTAGTGATTTTTTAAAAAATCCTGCATATCATGCTGCCTTGATATTGCATCACACGAGTCAACCATTAGAATGGCATTTGTGATGTTTCGGTTCATTCCTAATACATCACAAAAGGACCGCTTAAAGAATTGCATATAAAAAAAGGAAAACAAGTAAAAATATAAAATACTGGGGCATTGTTTGATTAACAATATTATAATCTATTTTATTATAATATATATGTATATAAG